AGTACTGTACTTATCTCTCCGTCTCACTCTGTCTCTCGTTCTCTCGCTCTCAGTCTGTCTCAATCTCTTGATCTCTCTCGTAGCTCTCTCTCTCTCTCTCCCCTATACTTCGACCTTTTTGCCAAATTCCCAACACCAAAGCCCAAAAACTCTAACCCCGACCTCGCAACTCGCTAATTGGCGCGGGAATCGTAAGCTTGCAGTTATGCTCGAATTCGCAGGCTACCTATCTGCCGGGCTGTACGTGCCATATCCGAACCCCACCCGCTAGAAATATAAAGAAATTGGCAGCAGGGAACCTAGAAGCTGGTCGAAACCTGATTTGGGTGGCCCCTAATTTGCACCCTTTCAAAGAGGCCCCTAATTTGCCTACCTCACACCGGGGTTCCCACACACACAAAAACGCCTAAAACAGCGCCCTAAAAATGTGGCTTTGTGTCGTCAGGGCATTGGCCTCGCTGGCAGGAATTTCAATTTCGGGGGTAGCCCCAGAAATTGTCATTTTCAAGGGTTTCCTCAAGTATGCTGATCTCGATTCATTTTCCTAGCGGTTGATCTCGTTTTTTAAAGGGATGGGGAAGGCAATGAGCTTATCTCACGCTTAGGAAAACGTAATGTACGTGCGTTATGGTTCCAAAAATTACTTACCTCATTTCGCGTGTCCTTTGCTAATCAAGCTTACGCTATCGAATGTGTGTCGAAGTAATAAGAAATATAGAACTATGAAGGAGAAGATACTTTACTAGGGTGGTCAGAGCGAAAGAGAGACAAAGAGAGAGAGAGAGAGAGAGAGAGAGAGAGAGAGAGAGAGAGAGAGAGTCAGATATTGGTGCTCGCTCACTTGGCTTTTGGTGGTTTGATCTCCGGATGGTGCCGCCGTGACCGAGTTTTGGCACCAATGATAGAGTGAGAGACAGCGATAGAGAGAGAGCGAAAATAAGAGAGAAAGAGAGAGAGAGAGAGAGAGAGAGAGAGAGAGTGATAAAGAGTGAGGGCGTGTGAGAGAGCACAAGTTATTTCCATGCCAAGTTCAACTTCCCGTTTTTAAAATCGGAGCATGACGACGAGTTCCCATTTTTTGTAGCTCTTTTTAATCGACTTTTGAAGGTGACTGTTGGCGTGTAAACTTGTTTTTGAACTTTCTTTCGCTACCTTCTAGTGTTTTCTAAAAATAGGCCGCTCCCAAATAGGGGGAACTATTTTCGTGGTTGCAAATCTTGACGTAGACCGGATTTCATAACCCTACGCTCCACAACAAACGAAACAAAGGAGAGAGAGAGAGCGAGAGAGAGAGAGAGAGAGAGAGAGAGAGAGAAAGAGAGAGAGCGAGTACACATTGATATAGCCTTGTTTTTCAACCGATCAGGCGGCAGATGGGAGAGGGTAACATTTTGATCCGAGTGCAACTCAAAAAAGGGGCGGAGCCTAGGGTAGATGGGGCTATATAAAGGCGTAGTAATCTCCTCTCCGTAACCCTTGAATGGACAGACTACGCATCACACCCCTCTACCCCTACAAGAGCAACAACGAAGACCAAGATGAGCTACCACCGGACGGCAGAACCATGCAAGACCGCACAACTTCTCCGAGAGATCATCGAAGCGCATCAGGAGGCGGCAGTTGTCGTGAATATGAAGAAGCTGAGCATGTGGGTCAAGTTGGGCAAGTCAGGAGAACGTTTTTGGGGTTTTTGTGATATGGATTTTGGAATAGAATTTAAGAGTTTTGAAGGAAGTTTGAGCGTAAAGTGGAACTTAACGTAGTCGAGACATTACCGATTTTTTTGTACATCTTCTAATGCTTTTTTGAGCCTTAGAGATGTTAGATTGGAGCTGGCCAGACGGGGGACTGTTTTTTGGGGACATGTAGTTTGGATTTTGGACTCTATTTTAAAGGGCAATCGGGTGAGATTGGACGTAAAGCGGATGGAAGCGTATTCAAACTCTTTTCTAATTTCTTAGGGTCTAAGGAAGATTTTAATGGCTGGCAATTGAAACGATTAATTGTTAGAATTGGCTCGTAATCTCTATCTCTCGCTCCCCCTGTATCGCTCTCTTTCACATTGTCGCTCTCACTCTTTGTCTCTCTCTCTCTCTGCCACGCTTTCTACGTTTCCTAATAACTTAATGTTATTTTTGGTACCTTAAAATAAGATGCTAGGACATAGGCATCAAAAAATAAGATACAGAAAGAGCTGGAAAAACGCGTAAGAGACTGAGAGAGAGAGAGAGAGAGAGAGAGAGAGAGAGCGAAAGAGCAAGTGAGAGAGAGAGAGCGAGAGAGACCAAAAGAGACAAAAATCTATCGAAACCTTTTCAAAAACACTCCTACCATCACGATGTTTTTTAAAAGTTCAAGTTCAAACTCGCTAGTCCGAGCTTATCAAGCCCACGCTAATTTGTTTATCGAGGGCAGGTGTGGCGTGGGGGAAAATAATGGGGGTGCATTAGTGTCTGAACTCGGTCAGGGTGCAGCCACCAAGAGATCAAAGCACCAAAGGCCAAGGGAGCGAGCACCAATCTCTCTCCATATCTCTCTCTCTCATCTCTCTCTCTGTCTCTCTCTCTCTGTCTTTATCTCTCTCTATCTCTATCGCTCTTTCCTTCTCTCTCTGTCTCTCACGCTCTCTCTCGTCAAACTATGCCAACTCCTAGTATTTTCATTAATTTCTTTCTGATTTTGACTTCTTCCTCGGCCGAAACCAGAGTCCAAAGTGCCCTCGGGGCATCGTGACCAATAAGCCTATCACCCCCCAGCTACGCAAAAAAAAGCGATCGAATTCCAATCCCCCGTCCTCCAAGCGATAAACAAAGCATTTGTCACCGCGTCGATATTATTAGATTTTTCTCGTCAAGGTTTTTTTGGCTTCGGCTTCACGTGGTTGGGGCGTGGAAGCCGGGTGGTCACGCATTTTTTCTTCGATTTTTTTTGGCTTCTGGCTTCCAAAAAAAAGATTTTAGCGCGTTATTCCGCCTAGCTGCTTCGCAATTTACGCTGTGGAATTCTTTGAGGCTTTTAAAGGTACTAGGAAGTGGCCGAACCGACACCAATAGCCAAATTTGCGTCATGCGAAAATCCCGACAGGCCAAAAACCGACAGCAAGGCCCCGACAGGCTAAAATCCCGATAGCAAAAATCCCGAAAGTCGGAATCCGACAGCCCAAAATCCCGTCAAAGACAATCCCGACAGCGATAATTCCGATTCTCCTTGGCGCTAATGAGCCTGTCACTTTCTTCTATACAGCTATTCCTGCATGTCGGTATTTTTGCTGTCGACATTTTCGCTGTCGGGATTTCGGATGTCGAGATTTTAGCTATCGGGGTTATGATTTCGGGATTTTGGCGTTCTTCTTTTTGTCGAAAACTACACTCCGCATCAAATACTGTGATTTCACGCGGGCAAAACCAACTTTTACCGAGAAGTTGTCGAGACCTAGTCCGGGTAGGGATAGCTGTTTCCCGTTTTTAGCACCTTTAAAGGAGCCCAGGAATTAACGAATTCTGACGGCGTTTCGCGTGCTATTTTCGCAAACATTGCCTCGATCCCTCCTGATTCCATCTCTGGTTTTCTAGCCATTTTTTAGAATTCTCCGCTTTCCGTGACCCCTCTATCCCATTAGAAATTCGACTTTTGGCGGCTCGAACTCATCCCAGGCGCCTCATTTGGATGCAAAATCCACCCGGGACCGCCCCGGATTTGGGCGACTTTTTCCGGGGTTCTGGGAGTTTTTAGAGCAGTTTTCCGGCGTTGTGTGCCGGAATTTGAACATTGCCGTGTTGAATCTATAGAAACTACAAGTGAATTGCCTTCCGCGTTCTTTTAAAAACGTTGAACATAACAAGAATCGACCCTTGAGATCGACTAGGTTTAGACAGCCACGTAATACTCCAAAATACACACGATATGGCGAGATTTTGAGGATTGCCGCGAATATTTTAGCAATGAAAAGGATAAAACAACCCGTTGAGACCTAGTCGACTGACGAGGTAGATTTTCGCGGTTTCCAATCCCTGTAAAGACATTGGAGGGCGCAAAAATCGACCCTTTCCATCGACTAGGTCTCGATAAAAACCCCGTAGCATTCCAAAAGACGGTGAATTTTTGCGCCGTCTAGAACGGCTTAGGCGTAGGTTTAGGCTTAGGGCCAGGTTAGGCTTTTGCTGATGCTTAGGCTTGGGCATAAGCTAAGTCATAGACTACGGCATAGTTTTGGCTAAGTTTAAGCTTAGGCTTGGGCGTCGATTTTCGCGTTTTCCAGCCCCTTTAAAGACTCGAACAATTGACTCGATTTTCGATCGTCCATGGAAAGAAACGGGCGTTTTATGTTCTTTTCCGTCCCTTCCATTTCCACGGCTGCTCCCGTTCCCTCCCCTCTGCTCCGTCACAAGACTCCGCCCCTTTCAGCGGTCCAAAGACGGGGCAGAGCAGGGGGATGAGAGAACATTTTGAACCCGATACGATTCCCCATTCGCTGTTGGGTGTGGGTGCGAGCCGGCGTCTTCCCGGCTTTTGTTATCGATCTAAAACGCTGGAAATGTTTTATTAAAATAGAAAAATCTAAATTGAAAACTTTATAACTTCATTCTAGTCTGTAGTTTGTAGTTTAGTCAGGTTATTTTAGTTTGATTTAGTTTGTAGTTTAATAGCCAAACTACCCTTCGAAAAACTGAGTAGCTTCTTGTCCTAGAAACTTTCGAAAAAGCGCAATTTCCCTGTTCAAAATTTTTTGAAAGCCTGGAAACTGCTAAAGGAACCCTTTTAATGGTAGAAAAACTACTCTAAAAGGTTAGGATTCTATAATTTGACCTTGTACCAACCTTAAGAAGCAAAAACAATACGTATAGGGTTACAAAATGGTTTCGAAAGCTGTTTAAAGCTTAAAATATATCCTTTTATTAGCTGTCGATCTTATTTTAACTATTTTAACTCTTTTAACTTTGTTTTTACTCTCCTCTATTACTTTTGACGGATTTTACAACTCTGTTTTTCCCAGAGCAACAATGCCCATCGGCGCGATGCGACGCTCGGACGAGTCGGAATCGTCGAATTCTGATTCGGAGGGGTTGGTCGAGTGTTTTCCCCGTTTGTCTGTCCCCTTTTTTCAAGACGTCCGCTACATGTGACCCACTCAATTCAGCTCTTTGGAAGAAAAAAAAATTCAAAAAGTGGGGGGCATCGATTTTCAATGTCCGGGTCTCGTGGTTGAGGAAATGGGTGTCATCGTTCGATACAAAAGTGTTTTGGTTTTTTCTGCTGCCCTAATGCTAAAAATTAGTATGACATTTAAAACGTAGTTTTGAGTTTAGTCATTTTATTTTTAGCTGTACGTTTAAGCCATCCGGCGGTATATATTTTATACTGTAGTCGATAGGGAAGCCCGAAAACTACGATTTTTTCATCTGGGCCCTTCTCATGTTACAAAGCGACCGTTCCGGAACGTTGCTATTCCCAGAGTTTCACTTTCAGTTCTCGTTCTCTATCGCTCTCTCTCTCTCTCTCTCTCTCTCTCTCTCTCGCACGCTCCGGAAAAGTCCGGAACAAAAAAAGGCAAAAGCGCCTCGGATTTGAATTTTTAAGTCCCACGCGGTGTTTCAGGGGTCAGAAATTTTTGCGGTCCAACAAGCGAAAGTTTGGGTCACCTAGAATCTAGTGAACCTGATCCCCTATTTTTCAAACATGTTGTCGAAAGTTGCAAGTCGTCGGATTCGTGTCTGAAACCTGAAATTTGCCCAAAAGTTGATCTACGCCAGCCAGGAGCGGGCTGATTGACAGCCGGCCAAATTGGCCCACTTGTTTTCGCGTTTTTCAAGCCAAAAATTTGGGGCTCACCAAGTGGAAAACGAAAATGTTTTTGCAAAAATGAGCGAAATGAGAGAACGCGCAAAGGTGTAGTTTTTGATCTCACCAGGCGAGGCCACTCTTTTTTGAGGGGATTCCACCAGTTTACTATTAGTCCAATAGCTAGTGGGGGAGGGGGGAGGGTGAAACCCTTTTGCCCTTTTTCAAGTGTTATTTTGACCTCAAAAAAATGGCAGAGTACCTAGAGTAAAAATATAAACAGTTTTTGGAGTTTAAAAATTTCCCGGGAGCTATATAAAATTTTATTCAAGACGTTTAACTTCGCTGAACGGGCTTTCAACTCCGATTTTATGCTTTTTTTGCCTTGGTAAAAAAATTTGTTCCTATTTTCCACTCTCGACAGGGTTATAAAATTAATTTGCAGTTTTTTCTGGAATTTGGGATACTTTAAGCTTTTTTAATCACTTGACAACCTTCGGGAATCGCCCTCTATCCCTCTAATCACCCCCTCTCTCTACCTCTCTCGCTCCCTCTCTCTCTCTCTCCCGCTCTTTCTCACTCGCTCTTTCACTTATTGTCGCTCTCTTCTCTCTCTCTCTCTCTCTCTCTCTCTCTCTCTCTCGAAGTGAATGTTTTCCCCAGGCTAGTCTAATCTAATTTTGAGTGCAAGTGGTCGCTAGTTTAGTGTTTTTGTGTACGCTATCAAGCCTTCAAGCCTAAGCCAAGCTCGGAAACAAAGAAATTGGCTTGAATTCTGGGTGAACAAAGGATTCAAGCCACCACGTGGGGCACTTTGACCCGTGCGGGCGATTTTTCGACTCCTTACACCCACTGGGCGCCCTATCAGTTGCCGGTGCGCACGCCCGGCACCCGCAGGTCTCACCACCACCACCCCCGAAAATCCGCCGGTTTATCTTGGGTTTTTTATGGGGAGAGAGAGAGAGAGAGAGCGAGAGTAAGAGAGCCTTATAGATAGCCCCAAAGCGCATCATCACGCACCAAGAAACGCGATTATCTATCTGCCCGCAGTGGGCCCGACGAGCAGTTGACACATTTCAACGCCTCTGCTCCCCTCGGGATCGAGTTCCGTGTTTTTCGTTGAGCCGCACCCCCCGCGAATTTTTGGTCGCCTAGTTCAATTTCCGCTCCGCTTCCCTGAAATGGTGCTGAAAAGCGAAAGGAAACGAAGAAACGGGAAGCTAAATGTCATTTTTGAGAACTTTGAGACGTTAAGAAACGTTCAAAAACGCCATGATGCCGTGAAAAGCGAAGAGTGTCATCAAGACGTTTTCAAAAATGTTATTTACGTGTATACAACCAGAAAACGACCGTTTTCAAGCCCAAAAACTGCCTGGAATTACGGATTCAGCTCAAAACATGTCGAATTGTTTTTGTTTTCAAACTAAAAACGTCAAACTCATTGAAAATCCACTTCCAAACCGTTTTTTGATGCTGTTCACAGCTTCAAATGGCTTTTTTTATTGACCGGACGGCCACCGAAAGCATTGTTTTCCCTGCTTTACTAGTACTTCCGCGTCGCGGCTATTTTATCGCAAGTTTTAGGTCCTTTTCAGAGAGCAGTAAACCGCGTTCATTGGCGTGTAATGTCCTTGCCAGGAATTTTCTGCGAGTAATGGTTTTAAAGCCATTTTTAGCCGTTTTTTGGCGTAAGAACCCTCGAAAAATAAAAAGTGCCGATTTTTTCGATAACTGACGCCTGGTCGTCTGATAAATTCGTTTTGGAACCAAACAATACTCAATTCCAACCTGTCAATCGGCTTCTCGTTTCCTTTCTCTCTATCTCTCTCGAATCACTCACTCTCTCTCTCTCTCTTTCTCTCTCCTCTCTCTCCCCTCTGAAAACTACGCGCCTTGACTGTTGACGCTGGGAATTATATTCCGGCTAGGCCGGGCAGGTCCACTGCTCGGGCGCTGAGGGTCGAGCCGTCTATTTTTGCACGAAATTCTGGGGAGCTGACGCATTTTTCAACTTTTGTGAACGCCTTGAACTGCTTGAACTCGGGGTGTTTTTCAAAATTGCTTTTATGAGCATATTTCACTTCGAAATCCTTTTGAAATCTCGTAATTTAAAATGCTCACGAAACCGGGCTACGCAATTGTACAATTCACGCCCCCACCCGTCCGTTTTACGATAGATTTGGGCTAATCCGCTTGTATACTGAAAGTTCAGACAGCGACCGATTTTCCGCTGGAGTCCTATCGCCGTTACCGTATCCCTAATTACTATTTTCTGTATTGTTCAAACTACGTTTATTCCAGAATGACGCCCGACATCAGCGACGAGTACGAGATCCACTCGTCGGCCACCGATGAGCAGTGGGGTGATCTGATTGGGATGATTGCTAATGAGGTGGGCCTTAAACGTTTTTGCGGTTTTTACAGCTTCAAAGTAGCGTATTTGGAATGTAACGCTTACGACTAATTACGGTTGAAAAATTACGGTTTACGCTTAATGTGACCCTAACGCTTTAAAGGAGTGTAATCAGGAGTGTAGCGTAGCCAAGCGTACAGTCATTTACGGCTTTTGTTAAGGAATGGAAGAGCAGCGACGCTTCAACGACCCTACTCCTGCAACATCTGCCCTCCACTCGTATTGTTATTGCCGTGAGAAAATCTGGTACGTTTGATTTTAACAGATGACGCTGTGAAACGTAGCTTTTCGAAAAACGTAACCCATTTTTTCTACGGTTTAAATCTGATTTTCTGATTTACGCCAGTCTGATTTCGTCCGGAAAATGACTTTTTGAAGTGATACAGCTATAAAAATAATTGCATTTTTCGACTATGGTTTTACCTTAAGCGATTACGCAATATAATTCTGAATTTTCCAGACGATTCCCTGGTTTCTGCTGTCGCTTGGAACGAGGTGGACAACGTGGCCATGATCGGCTTCTACTTGACAAAGGAGAAGGAACGCGGAAAGGGTGAGGATGTGAAAATTATTCATAGTATCTTTTTAAATTACGCTCCAATTACCGTAGCCTTGTTTTGTTGCTTCTTATTTTGCCGCTTCCATTTTCTAGCGGAAACCGTAAAAATCAAACACCAAAACCGAGCAGCTGATGGGATTGTTCTGACATTTTTCTGGTTCTCTCTCCGTCTCTCTCTCTCTTTCTCTCTGTCTCTCCTCTCTCTCGCTGTTCCAAATCGGCTTTCCGGCCACGTTGACCCGGCCGGAAAGCAAAAAAGCATTTTTAAGCCGCCCTAATTTGCATTTTTCAGGCATCGGCCGGGCCGTGTGGCACCAGGCCCTCGAATGCATAGATCGCGAGAAGCGTATCATCGTCGTGAGAACGGGTGGGTAGATTTGGAACGCTACAAAAACCACTTTAAAGTCCAAATTCCGGTGGTGTAATTAGGTGTATAGCGTAGTTAAAGGGGCCGGAAAGTCTGAGTCATTTGATCCCAAAAAAAATCATGTTCCATGTGGTTGTCAGTATCAGTTCCTCAAAAATCCGATGGTAGCGACACACGGGTGCAAAGAGGTGTCACGCGTACAGACCACACTCAATTTCGCCGTCTTCTGCTCGTTCCGTTCAATAATACCCACACCCGGCCCTACCCCCCACGTGTCCTCCCTTTCTCCCGAGTTGCGGTCAGCCCATTTTTCTGATAGGTTTGCGACGATCGTTCTCTCTCTGGCTCTCTCTCTCTCTCTCTCTCTCTCTCTATCTCTCTCTCTCGCTCTCTCTCTTCACGACGCATTCACGTGCCCTCCACAATGCACCCCTGGCCGATCAGTCAACTCTGAGAGGGGGGTTTAGCCGCCCGGAATTAGGGGGTGTCGCGGAATTGTGAGCGCGTCCAGATGCCATCTGTAAGTAGTGTGCACCCGGAATGTGAAAGCCAGGGTGGATTCCGGTTGAAAAAGGTGGACCGGAACCGGAAGCTGCAGATGGAGAATAGGGAGGAGAAAGGCAGGCTAGCAGGAATTTTTGGAAAAACATCTGCGAGGTGCAATTTGGACAGGGCATGCTAGCAGGGTGTCTTTGCGGAAATCGGCCGTAATCGTAATCGCAAATGGCGTCTGCTAGCTTACCAATCTCAGGCGATCTAGCAGAGATTTTTTTGTTCTCCAATCGATTCTCTGGTACGATTTATCAGAAAAGCAAACAATCCACGATTTCCAAAACGCTCCTCCTGACGTCGGGGGTAAAAACAACCATCGCGTGTTCCAACTTGGCCTGCGTCATATTCACGTTCCACGTTTCTCTCTCTCTCCCCTCTCTCTCCCCCCCTCTCTCTCTCTCTCCCTCTCGCCTCCTCATCTCCTGCACTTTGCATCATTCATCCGATCCCTCGAACTTTCGGTTATCCACTCCCTCAAGGCGGAAAAACAAAAATATGGTCGAATCGAATCGAAATTCACCCCTAAAAATAGATCCCCGTATCAAAATTGTAGTGTTTTGCAATCGACCATGCTGGGGCGGAGGTCATATCTTTCACTACGAGCTATCATCGATAAAAATTTGGGGGGAGGCGGGGGTTTTCACGTGGATTGGGTGGGTCGTCAATAGGTGTTATGTGGAGCCTAGAGGAGACGGGGGTCGGCAACAAATCAGCAAAATTTGGAAATTCGGCATTTTTGCGTAATCGTATCGTATCGTATCGTATCGTAGCGTAGCGCATGTTATCGTATTTCTAGCCCATTTACCCAGCGTAATCAATCCATTTCTTCACGCGTTTTCTGTTTTTCAAAGCCGAGATTCCCCAAAATACGCCAAACAACTCTTTAAAAATTTCCTAACGCCCGGAAGTTCAATGATCCGCCTTGCAAAAGTGTTTCTTGCTCAACGGCCACGTGAATGCCGGCTGCTGACAGCGGAAAAGACGTTAGAGAAGAGATAAGAGATCCGCTGGGTGGGCCAGGTCACTTTTTGAACCCAGCCCGGTTGGCGAATCGGAACGCGGGTGAACAAACAAGGAGAACGAAGGGCTCCACTTTACAGCAGCGCTTTCGTCGCCTGGGGATTTTGTTGAGATGGATGCCGGTCAAAAATTTCCGGCAGGGGAGCATAAAGGGGTTTTTGAGAATCAGGAAACTAATGATGCCGGCAAGCGTTTGAAAAAAAACGATTCCCAAGGAAACTCTGCAAGCACGCCCCTCTATGTATCTCTGTCGACTTTCTCCTCCCCCTCTCTCGTACTCGCTCTCTGCCTCTTTCTCTCTCTCTCGCCCTCTCTCGCACTCGCTCTCTGTCTTTCTCCCTCTCCAGAAAAATTGACAAGCAAAGCACAATATATTTATTTTTATACGAAAAAGGGGGACATTCCGCAAAATTTGGTGGTGGTAGAGAGGGGTTTTTGTGCAGCGTCCTGGACGAGTCGAGTAGCGAGGTAGCGGCTTCTAGTAGTGGAAGTACGGGGCGTAGTGCACCGAGCGGACGGCAGCACGTCCGGCCTCCGCGTCGAAGGTGCCGTTGCCGACCTGGCGTCCGGCCACCTCGTGTCCCTCGACGGCCGTGATGCAGTCAGACTCCGGGATGTCTGAAAAAGGATGGTTACGATGCGTAATTAGGTAGCTTTACGTAGCGTTAAAGGGGTGAGGACATCGACAAACGCTGAAAAAGCTCGAAAAACCTTACCATTGCGCGCGCCAAGGTGGAGACCACCGGCGGCTTGCTGGGCGGCGGCGTCGACCTGGCGCAGCTCGGCGATCTGCTCGTTGGTGAGACCGGGCAGGGCTTGGAACGACGGAAGGTATGACGAACGGGAAGCCATCTGGACGGGCGGGCGGGAGAGAGAGAGCGGTGGATGGAGAGAGATACTTCCACCGAGATTTCAGTCCGTTTTTATACTTGAAAACCCATGGTAATGTTCATGTAAATGAGGAAAAGCTAGGGAAAGGACCGGAAATGCCTGGGAGCTGATGCAAATTGCGAATTAGAGCAGAATTTGGGAGTTTGATCCCGTGAAACCTTCCAAAATTTTGTATTTGCAAAAAGCTAATGGCTTTAAAGAGTTTGGTAAAAACCTAAAATCTGCTAATTTAGGACAAAATTAAGGTTTTAAAGAAAATTAACAACTTTAAACCATTCAAGAAACCTTAATAAGCTTGTTTTTTAATAAAACCGAGTTTTAAACAAAAATTGATAAACTGTAGATTGTCCAAAAAGCTGTAGACGTTTAAATTACGTGCCGATACCCCTAAAAACCGGTTTTTTTAATTTTCATTGTAAAGCCTATTGATTTTTCGGAGGTTATACGTATAAAAAAGTAGCTTCTAAAGCCATCTCAAACCGTATTCGTTTAATTTCCTCCTTTTCCAGGCCCCGACATGGCCGCCAAGTACCAGAAGTGGGACGTGCCGGTGATGGGCAAGAAGATGCACCGCTTCGTCGTCCGCGCCGAGCTCCTTATCGACGGCTTCACGCGTCTTTTGGAGAAAAATGGCATCCGGTAAGCTTTAGATCATTAATTATCGATTAAAATTAGTAGAATACTATAAAACCCGATAAACCCTACTTTTTCAGCAACGACAAAAACAACAACGCGGGCATGGAGACGAAGTGCGTCAACCAGTTGACGATTCCCGAGTTTGACAGCCTGCTGGATTACGATCAAAAGGTTGGTGAACCTCAAAAATCCCGTAAAAACGGGTTACAAACTATAATTTGGTAGTTTACGCCTAAAAACCTGATCCCAGTTCCTTTTCCTATCAAAATCTGGCTAGCAAAAACTTTAAAACTCGAAAAGAACATCTAAAAACTATTTTTAGGTCACCTCTAAGGATCGCAGCGACTTTCTGGACTCGTTTTTCTCGCTCGACTGCGTTTGGTAGGCCCTAAAAATGTAGAACAACTTTTACCTCCAACTTTCAGCGCCTGCGTCACCCAGAACGAAGACGATGACGTGAACGGCTTCGGCGCTATTGTACCGTCAGTGAAGGTGAGCAATTGAACGGCTCGAACTTCATGGAACAAGCAACAGTCTAGTCTAACGCATCTAAAAACTCGCGTTTTTGAAGATTTTTATCGTCGAATCCCTAAAGACGTTCAAAAATTTATAAGTAATCGAAGTAAATAATCTAGGCCTATAAAAAAATATCAAAAATACTTAGAACTTCGTAAAAGGGATTAAATAATAAAGGGTATAATTTTAGGAGGGCTCGCATCGGTATCGTCTTGCGCCCATCTACGCCCCTGACCTCAACATTGCCACCTCCATCGCCTTGAGTCTTGTCAAGCGGGTGAGATATGCAAAAATTTTCTAAAACGCTTAGGTTTTCAGGTACACAAACGTGACCCCAAGGCTGAGATCTACATCCAGACCGTCGAGGGCAGCGCGGGCAGCATGCAGTTGCATAAGGTGAGAAAATGACCAAAAGAACGCGCATAAAAAATTTTGGCTACAATTTTTCCTATTCCTAAACCTAAAGAATTTATTAAAATGGTTAATTTTGTTAAAAATACTAAAAACAGCTAATTTTCCACCGAAAATGGTAGATTTTTGAGCCGTTTTCAAACTTTTTTGCCATTTGAACGTTTTCTACACCGTTTTCAACTTAAAAAAACAGCTCAATTTTACCAAAAAGAACCTAACTACCGCATTTTTCCAAATCTTGCAAAAGAGCTCTCGTAAAAAGCCTCGTTTAAAAAAATATCTAGGCTTTCAAAAAGGAATTTTTTTAGATAAAAAGAAATCTTTTAAAGAAACAAAAACATATCTCAACTTTCCAGGTGCTAAAAGAATACGTTGGCGTGGACCCTGTCGAGGACTGCGTGACTCTCACTTCTCGGAAGTTGCCCATCACCACCCGGCTGCACATGTGCTACATTCCGCATAATAACGGAGGACATTTTGATGTCTAAAAACCTTGCCCACTTTAATTACAGTCATAATGTTTATTTCTTCCTTCTTATTCCTTCTAGCCTCTAGTCCTATCTTTACGGTCCCTGCCAAATCGAGTCCCATCCCTCCCCCCTCCCTCCCCCTCGAAATTGTTACCTATTTTATTTTTCGTACTTTGTTCCCTCGGGTCCCCGTCCATTGCTTGTCGAGACTCTTTTCTGAGTTGCAATCCCCGTTTCTCGCCAGCGCCCCCCCTACACTACACACTCTACTGTTTTGTACATACACACAGCAATTGCAATAAATTGTGGAGATGAAATTTGGGTTTTGAAACGCTTGAAAACACCAGTAACACGAAAACATGACTATTTCAAGGATTGCTACCAGTTTTCCTGAGTTTCAGAGCACGAAAATGCGATCTTCTAACTCTTAAAATCCATAAAGCCCCAGGCTTTTCGTAAGATTATAGAATTTTCTTAAATACAACGTTTTAATTTTTTAATTTCCCCATTTTATTTTTAAGTTTTGGCTAGAACGTTTCTTGCCAATTTACGGAATTCCGGGCCGGAATTTCAAAGTCCCACATAATCTGTGCGTCTCTTGGACAGCCGCGTTGGGTTCGGCGGGTCCCCGATTTTTGCCGACGACTTCAATTTCAAGCTTTTCCTTTCTGATTTCGTCACAAAAATAAAAAATTTAATTCTTTATAAATAGTGGAATTTTCGATCCAATATCAGTTTTAGATTTTAAGCGCTTTATTTGGTGGGATTCACCGCTACGCGCCCATAGAAAAAGCCTGTTTATAGTCCTAAGCTTTCCAAGTCTTTCTTTCCTATTATTCCCCTTTCGTTGACTCTGTTTTCCTATTTGTTCTCGTGTCTTGCACTTCTACTAATGCTACTACTATTTCCAGAAATGCTGCCAGCACGCATTTTCCGTTCGGCGAGCCGCAGTCTGCAGACCTCCGCCACCGCCTTCAACGAGGTACTAGCTTTCGCTACTTTGCAAATTTTTGGTTTAGTTTCAGGCCACCGACGCGAAATTTGCCCCGACCTCGAAGGTATAACTACCGGCGTTTTTCCTACAATTTCTCCCTTTTAGCAAGTCGATGAGCTGTTCAAGACAGAGGATAGCGATCAGCGAAGACCGCGCGCTAGTTTCAGGTAGCTTAATATGGTTTTTATTTAATGGTAACTTTTCTTGCAGTGTAAACAAGCTGGAGCTGGCCGGACACGTGCCGATGGAACCGCAAATCAAGCAGCTCAACAATGGGAGCGAGCTCGTCCGTTTCCCGATTGCCACCAAGAATCCACGTACGTTGAATTTTGTGTATTTTTTTCCTTCCCCAAGACTTGTTGCTTGCCAATCTGATTTTCGTAATTTCAGGCACCCAAACCGACAACCACGACTTCCACTGGGTTGATGCTCTTGGGCAAGTCGGCAAGTACGCCAAGGACAACGTCAAGAAGGGTTTGTTTTTCATCTTTTTTTTCTGACCTTGGCTAAGTTTTAGTATCTAGTCGCTAAGCCAAATCCAAAATTTTCTGTAGAAAAACGCTCGATCTTATCTATTTCAGGATATAGTGCATCGAACAGTGTTTTCTGTGTTTTTCAAGTAGCTTGATCTGCTGGGCTTTTTGGCCTATATAAAAACGGATTTTGTTTTATTTAATTTCCCACTAACCTCTCCATTTCAGGATCGCAAGTCCACTTCATCGGCCACATCAGCTACGGCGAGTGGCAACCCGAGGGCGCCGACAAGAAGCGCAAGATCACCCGCTTCACCGCCGACTTCCTGAGTGTCATGAAGCGCGCCGGCCAACAACAAGAGTAGACAAGATCTCGTCCCGGGTCTCACCGAATCTCTCATCACCTTCGACGTTTCTAGCTTATTAGATGTTTTCTCGTTTGATCGTTTTTCGTTTGTTGACTATTGTAATAAAACTTCAGGATTAACACTCGTATCTTGACATCGGAATGGTGAATTGGTTCACTTGTATCCTTGTGCACTTGGAATCACATTGAGAATACAAATTGTGGCGCGGCACTCGATAGAAAACAGCGCTGCGTTGGAGACAACACATTTATTCGGTGCAGATTTCTACTGAGAATGGGCATTAAAATTTTACTGCTGTAGTAACGTTGAGAAATTTCTTGACCTTTCAAAGCGGCTGGAAGTGAAGAAAATATAATTTCATTAGTTTAGACGAGGATGGCATCGAACTACGATGACCATCCTCTGGGGCTCCTCAGCGAACTGGCGAGACGCGAGCTCGTCCATTTTCTCGAGAGCGTCCCCGGAAGAAAGGTATTTAAAAAAATTAAAGCAAAAAAAACACCGTTCAGGAGCTGGTCGTCGACAGTTCATTGCTTCGTCCGCTTGATCGAGTGGCGAGCATGTCGCTTTTGAAAGAACACGAGGTTTTAGGTCGGGTGGAAATATTGCTATTTTAAAGAAGTTTTTAGGTGTCTTACCTCTTCGGAAAAACGCAACGCTCCCGAATACTTCTGACGTCAGCCGCTTGTACCTGACGCGCGCTTGCGTGGCGATGACGAAGGAAATTTGCAGGCGAGTGTTCATTGGAGAAAAGCTTTATGCGTTAGTTTCAGGTTGATACGCAGTGATCCTGAAAAGAACAAGGCGATAATCTGGGTCGATCGCCAGTTGGCAGCATGTAGTCGCGAGCTCGAGTTACAAGGTAATTTGTTAAACGAAGAAAAAAAACGAAGTGTCCTTTCTAGGGGTGCTAGGCACGGTGATAGAATTCGAATGGGCTCTTCCTTTCGTCCCCGTTGAGAGTGACCTCTTTTCGCTGGAGATTCCGATCGAAGTGACAGCAACGCGAACTGGTAAGTAACCGCTCTATTTTTGGGAGCTTGAAGCTTATTGATATGCTTTTCTTTTCGTTCCAGGTGACCTCTGGTCCGCCGCCAACGCCATCTGGCAATTCCAGTCTCTTTACGGCCAAATTCCGACTATTTATGGCAAGTTTTAACAAGTTTATTTGATGGTTTTCGAATTGCTTTAGGTATTGGTACTCGTGCAGACAAAGCCTGGAAAATCTTGAAGCGACTCTACCAAGAAAAAGGCGAACCTCGCGCCAGCCCAGATCAGCCAGTTTCGCATCTTTTTGTCGTTGATAGGTAAACAGATTAATTGTTTTATAATCTTTTTCAGGTCTATCGATCGGGCTTCCATCTATTTAACGGCGCTCACCTACGAATCGTTGCTGCACGATCATTTTGGGATTTCTTGTGGAAAGGTGGTTTTCTTGACGCGTTTTTCATAGCTTTCAATGATTTCTAGGTCACCTTCGGGGCCGACGTCGAGGCAAAAACGCAGAATCGAAGCAAGGAAAAGCCAGCTGAAGCTCCCGAAGCCCCGAAAAAGCCTAGAGTACGTTTGACACTAATTTATTCTGAGGGAAAGGCGTCTCGGAATCTCTAAATGCCTTTTTGCGTAGTTGGTTAAATTTTGGTAGAAAAGAAGGAGGTTATTAGTATTTTAACAAACGTGCCAAATCCTAAAAAATTCATTTTTAGCCCGTTCTGCTCGACAACAATGATGCCGTCTTCTCAGCGGTGCGCAACAACCACATGTCGGCCGTCTTTCCCTTCCTGTCAGCAAAAGCCAAGGAGCTGCGCGGGTTCTACGATCAAGGAGCCAATTTCGACAAGGTCAGTTTTACCCTTTTAATTTTGTACTTTAATTGCTTTCGACAATAAACTTTTCTAGGTCTCGGCGATGAAGGACTACATCTCCAACGAGTTGAAGCAGTACAAGCAGCAGCATCGGCAGCTGGAGGTCCACATTGCGGCTTGTGAGGTAAGGGCTAAATTTTTCATGATTTTCTATGTTTTTCAGGTGGTTTTGGAGCGAACGGCGGCGGAGGGGACTTCATCCCGGATAGAGCTCGAGCACGCGCTCATTGCCGGAGTGGCCGATCTGGCTCAAGTGATGGATTATGCGGAGAATTGTATTTTGATGGTAAATTATATAATTTCTACGATTTTGAGTTGGTAAATTTTTAGTTGAAACTAAAATAATTTTTATCAAGATTACGAAAAGTCATGAAATCTTGCCATTTTTAATATTCAAGTTTGTATTTTCATCGAATTGACTAAGATATTTATTTAAATTTCAAGGAATCGCGAAAGGCTTGAATTATTCTGAAAAAAGACAAATTACAGGACAATTCCCCATGGCAAGTTCTTCTCTTCGTCTGCCTCGCCTCCGTCACGAACAACGGGCTCCCCCCGAAGCTTTTCAACTCTTTTAAGGTATTAGGTTTCTTGTTTTAACGAGTACATTTCGTTTCAGGATCAGTTCATCGCGGCCTACGGTATCGACTACATTCCGCCGCTGCACTTTTTGGCGGAACGTGGCCTGATTACGTTACGCTCCCCCTTGCAGACGGCCAATAATTTTGGGCAGTCATTGGCGGGCGGACATGGAAGTAAGATAATTGCGATAATTAAGATAAAAATTTTGATTTTCTTTGTAGTTTTTTATCTAAATTTTGTAAATTTATTTTTTATAGCGGCGTATATAAAACACGTGTTTCCAGGCAATGCCTCCCTTCCCTTCCTCATCAAGCGGCTCTCCCTGGCCCCGAGCAGCGGCGACGAACGGAAGACCGGCTTTCAGAACCCGCAAAAGTGAACTTTGAGGTTTCTTTGCAAAACTTGAACTTTTAGGATGAGCTACGTCTTCTCTGGCGCTTATACTCCAGCCATTTGCCAGGTGGTGGCCGACGTGATGATGCACGGGTTCAACATCAACGAGCTGAAGAAGACGTTCAATGGACAGGTACTTATTGATCTTCTCTGAGCTTGATCCCTGGCTTTTAGGTATTTGCCGAAGAGAACAGCTGCGTGCCCGCCGAGCGGAAGCCGGACAACCGGATGCGGAAAGCGATAATGGTCAGTATATTGATTTCTTGTTTTCCTAAATGATTTTTGCTCGCTTGCCTTTGGTTTTTCATAATTTGGGTTTTTCTTATTTCCAAGCTAGCATTTTGAGTTCCTAAATGATCTTTGCCAGCTTGCCTTGCTGGGTTATTCCAAAAACTGGGCGTTCATTTCCTTCAAAGATCTTTGCCAGCTTCTTGAGCTTAGGTTTTACAAAACTAGGCTTAACGTTTCCACCAGAATCGCTGCAAGTCTGCATTGTTATTCCAAAAAGAAACGTGTCTGAATTCGATTTTATTTTTCCGCAAGCAACTCTGCAGGCTTGCCTGCTGATTCCGAGAAGACGTTCTGTAATTTGTTGTAATGGAATTTATTTTATTTGTTTCCACAAGGATTTCTGCAAGCCTGCCTTGTGATTCTAAAAAAGCTAGACTGACGTTATCTCCCTAATTCCAGGTCTTCTTCTGTGGCGGCGTCACCTACGGCGAGGTCGCTGCTCTTCGACTGTTGGCCCATCTGAACTCGTTCCGCATCCTGATCGCCACGACGAACATCATCCGCCGCGAGGACTATCTGAAGGCCATGTGCAATGTCTCTTTGACCGAATAATAGATGTATCTAATTTTTTTTTGTGCCAATATCCTTCCCAATATCCCATATTCTTCTGTGATATCTTTCCAGCATCAATCGCTTTTTGTTTACGGGTAAAACAAAGTTTTTTTTGTTTCTTTTTAACCTCTCGCTTCGCCATCCATTCCTTGTGCTAATTTTCCCCTGGGTTGTGTATTTTCTTGGCCGCTTTCGCTTGTAATAAATATATTTATTTATGCGCAATTGAGGTCATTTCCTACACGTAATGGCTGTTTCACGGTGATATGTACACTTTACGCCAGGTGTCGTGGTGGGGTGGCGGTGATGGCGCGTCGTGGTCTTTGCGTTGTCGATTGGCCGCGTCTCTTCTTGTGCTTCTCCTCGTCCATGCGCTTGTCCATACGCTGCTTGGCGTCGTCGGGGAGCTGTAAGGTGTTGTTATTTATTTTTTTTAAGGGTTTTTTAAGCTAGGTCGGCCTGTTATAAGCTTGAAACTTCAAGGTTACGAATCTAAGGTTTTGCTACTATTTATTTTAACGTTTTTTCAAGCATATTTTACTAATTTTACTTGATCGTAGCTATGACCTTCTTTTAGAAATCTAGGCGTTTAAATTTTATTAATTGTAACGTTTTAAAATCTTAAAATTTGCGTTTTAAAACTTACAGATTTCCTCTCGAAATTGCCGCAATCATGCGGGAAATCGGCGGGCGGGGCTGGGATTTCGTGGTCTTCTCCGATTCTAAAGTTTTCGTTTTTTAATGGCTTAGTTTTTTTAGTTTGTATAGTAAATTAAATAGGTCTAATTTTTGTGTTATAGAACTCTAATTCTAAGTTTCCTATCCATTTCTAAATCTAACTCGATTTTTTTAAAAACCCACTTGAACGCGTACGCCGCCCCTCCCATCATGTGCAGTTCCAGATGGCAGTGGGCCACCCACCAGCCCGGGTTCGAGGCGCGGAAACTGGAAAATATTCTTAGTCATATTTATTCTGTTTTTCTTACCGTATCGTCGCGTAGCCTCCGACTGGGATCAGAATTGTATCACGCAACGAGGGTCTTTTTCTCATTCCCTTTAGCGCGCCACCCCATTGGGCTTGATCGGTCCACCGGAGATCATCACAGATTGCCTGAAAAAGCTTTTTTAGATAGATAGAGATGGGGAGAGATAGAGAAAGAGAACGCGAGAGAAAGAGATAGAGAGCTACGTTTTGCAACAACTTACGTCAGCGCTGGGACACGGCAGGTCCTGGTTCATGTCGCTGATCATCCCCGTGCCATTGTAAGAGGGCCAGCCCATCTAAAAATTTTAGTTCAATAAGCTTAAAATAATTTATTGAATTCTTAAGGCTCAAAAATGGACTGGATTCCGTACCTTGACTAGATACGTATGCGTGGAATGAATATGTAGCGGGTGGGCGTATCCAGATCCGTGTCCGCCTCCAAGTCCCATGTTGTAGATGGTCAACTAAAAAAAAGTATTATGCTTAATTGACTATTTTCAAGTACTCTTTTGTATTCTGCAGTACTGTAGTTCTGTACTTTTTATATTTTTAACATACCTGGACAATATTATCCAGCTTGTGCTTGAGATGATAGAAACATCGGCAATTTTCGTCGTATTTCGAGTGGTTTCGCGGGCAATCGATCTAGAAACTTATTTTGTTTTTAACATTTAAAGTTTGGTTTAGTTATTATCATCTTTTTAAAATGTCAAATTTTGAAGAATTTTCATACCTTTGAGCAGTCCTTGGCGACCGTGTCCATGAACGTGTCGCCGTAGTAGTAGGGCATCCCGCGCGAGAACTCGAACTTGTAGCCGTTGACGTGGCTGTCGTAGTGCATGTTGATGAAGTGTTCCTGGAAAGGGAAATTAGGATTTTTTGCCTAGATCTAAAGTTTTTAAGATATTTGGGCGTGAAATAGGGTTTTTTAGGCGCTTCAAGATTCTTTCTGTGCAATTTTTGAAAAAGAAGAAATTTTAAATTTTTCAACTTCGATTTTTTTTCTATTTTTGTGTTTATTTTTCCATTTTAGCCGTATTTACAAAGTGTTGTTTAACTTTTTAAACAAACCTCATATCCCTGATCGAACTTCTTTTCGGCGAGAATTTCCGGGTCCTGGAGTTCGAAGGGTGACTCAAGCGTGTCCACGGCAATGCACTAAATTATTCATTTTATTAAAACAAGGATTTCGTAATAGAGTTAATTATATCAAAAACTCTAAAAGAATTTTCCTCACCTCAAAGGGGAAATTCGGGGGGGTACTGCTTGAAGGGGCAGTTGAAGACAGTGCAGGGCTGGCCCTGCGAGCAGGTCGGGTGGCCGAGACGAGCTGGAAAGCGAGTTTGTGGGAAAAGTTACTAAAACTTACGCAAATTCGGCTCGCCATTGTCCTCCACATCTTCGTATTCGAGATTCGCAATTCCGTACGTCGTCTCGACGTGGGACCAGTCGAAGAAGTAGTACTAAATTGAAAGTAGGATATCATTTTAAGTAATAATTTTAGTAATTTCGTTATAAAGTAACTTGTTATGTTGTTTAAACTTATTTTGGCCTTTTTCCTCAGCGTTTTCTATTGTTAATCCTACTATATATAAAAAACTAGTGTTTGTGTGTGTGTGTGTGCATTTGCATGCAACTTCCGTCAGGGTGTCCGGAGGATATCTCGAGAGGGGATGGGTTTGAAGAGGTGTTTGATACGTCATTAGATGCGTAATGGGCTGGAGATGACTGCACACATATAGGATTTTGTAAAATATGTTGTTTTCGACATTAAAATTAAGTTTTTCTTAAAAATCCCGACACCCACTTTGTTAGGATAAAATTAGCATACGCCGGAAGTTGCAGTAGCTTATATAAAGGCCCGAAGGGCGCGTTTTTCATTTTTTGTCATCGGAATTGGGGCAAAATTATGCCAAACGAAGAACATCATTGGGTTAGACGGGGCCAGGGTTGAAAAGTCGCGTAGCGGGCTTTTCAACCCTGGTTATATTTAAGAGATCAAGTACTTGTACAGTCTCCGCAATCACGTAGAAGTTCTTCTTTTCCGGCTTATCGTGGCCCTTGATGAGGATGTCGTAACGTTCTCCCGGGAAGATGATCAGGTTATTTACCTAAAAATGGATTTCTAGGTTTTTCTATCCGAAATCTTACAGTCATCGGGATCACTTCATTTCCATCGGCTGCGACGATCGTTAGATTGTGACCCTCGATGCTAAAAAACAAAAAATTTAGACAAATCGAAATAATTTACCTGATCATCAGCTCCTGAGCAAGACCACCGTTGACGATACGCATCAGAATTGACTCGCCTGGAGGAGAAAATATGAATAACTTAGGTCGCTCTTACCCTGCTTAATTCTGTAGGTCTCAAGCGGAAGCTTATCGGGCCGGGTCCGGATATCGGTCTGATCGTGCCACCCCTTGTCGTTGAAGAGGATTGCGGAGAATGGAATGGCTCCGCCGACATTTCCTGAAAAAGAAGGTAATTTTACTATTTTTCATAACCTAAAAAAGTTCTTAAAGTTCAAATTCTTTGAAAAACGTGGATTTTCTTTTCCTTTTTAAAGTGTTAGCTTTTTTGTTGTTTTAATTTTTTGGTATTTGTACAAAGAATAGAGAGAAATCATCATAATCTGCTCTAGAAAATTTTTTTTTTTTGATTTTGGGAAATAGAAGCCTAGAGAAAAAGGAATTTTTCACCAAATTTTAGCCGCTCGACGCTGACAATCGGCTCCTCGTGCTCACCTCCATCATGGACCCTCGTCGGCTCCCAGCACTTTTCCATCTGATCCATGCCGTACATCCATCTCATCGTCTTTTCCTTCAACGCCAACCAGGTATCGCCAGCATCATCATTCGACCAGTCCTAAAACATGCTAAGTTATCTATTTATCAACCTTTTTCCAAATAAACTACTTCTAAAACAGCAAAAATCGATTAAAAAATGTTAAGATTTAAGAAAAGAAATTTAAGCATTTAAAGGCAGCGATTACCTGAAGCAAAGTGAAGTATTCCCGCGACGGCTGCACTCTTCCGCCATCCATCGTTGGCACCGTTGTGTCGAGCTCCCGGACGACGAAGCCGCCGGCAAGTCCATCACCACTGAAAAAGCATCATTTATATCTTCATTGAATTGAATCTACATTAAACGCCACCTTTTTAAACTATACTTCACCCCAAAAATATTATAGAACCCACCGATCCGACTGCAAATGTCCGTGGTACCAGTGGGTCCCGGCACGGTCGGCGAAGAAACGGTATTGATAGCTAAAATAATGAATTACATAATTAAGACAATCTATTTTACTTTGTCATCGTGGCGATAGGGCATTGCTGGACGAAGGAGACACCGTCCTCGTACCAGAGGCCCTAAAAATAGAGTTAAACTGCGGCAAGCTAAAGGTGATGAGAGAGAGAGAGAGAGAGAGCGAGAGAGAGATAGAGAGCGAGAGAGTGAGAGAGAGCTGTCTAAAATCTTACCTGCTTGTCGATACCGTGGAAATGGATCGAAAAGGAGTCGAGCATCAGCATGTTGCTGACCTTGACGAGCACCTCAGCGCCGAAGGGGACGACGAGAAGCGGGCCAGGGCTAAATTATAAGAATTAATTTTAATTAAAATCATCATAATCAAAACCAAAAAATTCACCAACCTCTTGCCGTTGATAGAAATGACGCGGAAATGAAGACCATCGAGGGTAAGGATGTCTTCGATGAAGGCCTGAAAAATGGGTTAAAACGTGCTGAACAGGCAAGAAAGAGAGAGAGAGAGAGAGAGAGAGAGAGAGAGAGAGATAACGAGTTCCACTTACATCCGTCTTATTATTCGTCAAATCCATCTTGTCCCGCTTATCGCAAGCCACCAGCTGGTCTGGGTCGCGGGCGTACCACGTTTGCTAAAAAATGGCACGTTTTTAGGTGGAGTGGCTACAGTAACACGTAAGGTAGCATACTACGTAGTATAAAAATCATTTTTTGGCAATAATTTTACCTGATCGACATCATAATCCACAAGAGTCCGATGTCCGAATGGGGGCTCGCCGTAGCTCATCGTCAGCTTCTTCTCCACCATCAGATGGAATTCATAGACGCCGTTCTAAAAATCGAAAACATTGATTAAGAATTTACAAGTATAATAGTTTCATTAAAAAGTTTTGGAAACAAAAAATATTGTAAAAACCTACTGCATTCGGCTGTGCCACTTCAATCGGTTCTGCATACTTTGAATAGGCCGCTATCGTCTTGGCGAGCGCGAGAAAAAGTAGTAGTCGAGTTGCTGTGCGCATTTCTGAAATCAGAAGGTATATAAAAGTGAATTTTTAAGTTTTAAAGGTCTAAAAAGTGTAAAAGAACGATCCATAAAAATAGTGAAATGAAATGAAAAAGTCGCAGATACGGTATAATTCCTGAAAAGGCACATTTTTGCTTCTTTTTTGAACTTTAAAACTTTTAAAAGTCTAGAAAAAGCAGAAAAATGACAGGAAAGTTATGGAAAAAGTCAAAGCTACAGTATACCCGGATTAGCTTCGACTAGAAGATCATCTCCTGCCACTACAAGATCATCTCCAGCTACTGATCACCAAATTCTCACCCTTTCCGGTGGACTACTGTTTTCCATAAGGCGGAAGGTAAACAATATCTATCTTGACGAATTTGGGAGAGAGCGTGAGAGAGAGTGAAAGAGAGCGGAGATATAGCGAGATAGAGAGAGAGATAGAGAGAGAGATAGAGAGAGAAAGCGAGAGAGCGAGAGACAAAGAGAGAGAGAAACTTTTGCGCGAAACGGTCCGCGACGATTTACGCGGAAATCTCGCTCCCTGTGCGAGGTGAGAAGCAATTGCCGGTGGTTGGCGGGTAAACAATGTTTGTCCAAGTGTCCTAAGATTATTTTGAGTTTTTGAAAAACGGCCAGGAGGCCATGGGGGCCGAGTTTTGAGTTTTGGACTCGAGTTCGATGGGGTCGGAGGCGCCGGAAGTGGTGGAACAAATAGCAGAAACTGCCTTAAAAGTCATACCGACCATTAATGCGTTTATCATCGGATTCCGACTTCCCTCACCAGTAGATGATCAGAAAAAAACACCTTGTTCTCTCAAGAGTCGGAGAAAGATGAGAAAACGAAAAAAGAGAAAAAGAGCATATTCTCTAGAAATCGTAGCTCAATGCATTGGTAAAATTGTCGGCCAACGAGTTCAAGGAGTTCAATAGGTAAATCAAATTATCAGGTTTTTGACCAGTTACTGTGGACTCCGCCGCCACCCAATCAACGAAAACTCACCCCCACCCCGTCCTAAATAAAGCCCAGCCGGCGGGTGTTTGCTTGTGTTTGTCTGGCCAAACAACTGATAACGCTTCCGCCACCGTCATTTCTCTTTCTCTCTTGCTCACGCGCGAATATCTTTAAAGGTGAGGAAGTGAGAGGCATGTGATTAGGAGGAGGGGTTAGGGAAAACGAAAAGGAAGAGGTGAACAATCGGCAATTCGCGGTCAGGAACCTGCTTTTGGAGTTTATGCTCAAATGATCAACATGGAGCTCATTTTTTTCTAGCAACTCTTATTTGTAAACAACGGGAAAAATGATATCAACGCTTTCTGGCTTACAAGTTTTTTCGACTAATTTTGAGTAAGCGCCACCAGGCACTTCCGGTCATGTGATCGAGCTTTTTAAAGGGACCAAAACACGAAAATCTACTCCTAGCACCAACTGGGTATCGACAACTACGCGCTACATGAAAATACGTATTTTATGACTCTTGAAAGCGTTGTAAAAATGATCTTAGGGGTATTTTAAGTGTAGCTGGTGGCTGTACAGACCTAGTCGGTGAGAGGGCTCGATTCCGGCGCTTCCCAGTTCCTTAACCTTTTTTTTACGCCTTTAAAGGGACTAGAAAACGCCGGAATCGACGTTTTCTAGCGGATGGAGAATGTCAGCTACGTGCGGCGCCAAAATACGAAACATAACTTTAGAAAGCGCTAGAAGAATGAGTTGTCAAGGTCCAGCGCGCGGAAGGGGTCCATACCCCGCTTCCAAGTCCCTTTAAAAGGCTCGATTTCCTTAGGTGGTGCAAAAGTTCAAAAAATATCCGGGTTGCAGAAAGGAAAGGAAGAATCGAAAAGCTGGAAATGAAGCCAAAAAATAGAAAACGATTAGCTGATTAGTTGATGCGGGTATCAAGCTACCAAGCGGATCTCAAAAGTGCACTCCTTGCTCCCCCTTTATACTCCAGCTTCCTCCAGGGCCACTACACAGCACAAATTGTTCAGCCGGACGGACACAACAGTCCGCCCCGGAGGTTCGCGTGAGGCACCAATCCGACTGTCAACACCCCGCGCCGCGCTGCCGTGTCTGCGGATTGTTGATACGTGATAACGTCGCGCATCCTCGTCGAAAAAAGGCGATAAAAATCGAAAAATATCTGTCTTTCTCTCTCTCTCTCTCTCTCTCGCTCTCTTTCTCTCTTCCCTGGTTCGGTATTTGCAACCTCCACGTGCGCGAGTAGGTCAGGAATTTTTGGAGAGATGGCGTTGGTAATTTTGAAATCATTTGTCAGTTACATTAATAATTCATTTTTAAAACTTTAAAACTTTAAATAATTCGATAAACGTTATAAATTACTGCAAAGAAAAAGCGCGATTCGCATCAGATTCAGCTGGTGAAACAGTTGGCGGATGAAGCTTGAAATTGCTCATCTTCTTCCGGAAATCGCTCGCCACCGAGACATTACAAAAATGACAGCTCAACGCCGACGACGTCTAGAATAGAATTCTCATCAGAAAGCTTTTTCCAGGAGTTCGATTGCAGCTTCGCGACTTCCGGTTATAGTACGCTCAACGGCGCGTTTTCCTGAATCTCCTAACGCGTATTTCTTTGCTTTTCCAGGAGTATCAGGCATGATTTTTGCTTCTGTTTGACGTATGAACCTTCAAAAATTCCGCAGATTCCGGTTACAGTACGCCCACTACGCAGTTTCCAATTTTTGATATTTTTCTTTTGCAGGAGGAGCAGGAGCCGATGCTTCGTTTAGTCAAAAAGTCTTCAAAAAGTCAGACCAATTTCTGGCTACAGTAGGATCACTAGGTTTTTTTTTGCATTTGCACGACTCCTTCCCGTTTTTGCGCATTTTCGAGAAATAACAGAAAACGCATTATTTTTGGGCTTTAGTTTTACACAGGTTCTTCAGAAATTCAGACCAACTTCAGGCTACAGTAAGCTCACCGGTGCATTTTCTGTACTATCAGGGCTCTTTCGAGTCGAGCTCTATCAGGCATTCTTCGCTTCAGACACACCGGAATCTCCCCCGAAGAAAACATTTGCCCTCTTGTTTTGTCCGAAACCCACCCTCAGACGGTATTTTCCACTTTTTGGACCCAACGTGAATACAATTTATCAAAGTTGCGCCCCGCGGCGGAGGAGGGAACGCTTATCTGCTCAAAAAATGAGATCACATGTCAATGCCCCAAAATCAACAACTCAACCGGAAAACAAACAATCAAAAACACGCCGGCCGTGCATAATGGGAAGGGCACACGTACTAGGCGGTGAGCCAAGCCCGTCCAAAAACTACACTCAAGATAAGGAGGAGGGGGAGAGTGGGTGGTTGGGCTTCTGTACCATGTGCTGCTTCAACACCGATGGCTCACTGGGTGAACGTGTGCTTTGTGCTGCGCCACCATTCTCGCACTTTCTCGTGACCCTCCTCGCTGACGACGACGCTCTGCAAAAGGGTCAGATGACCGGAAGCTCAGGGCCCAGTTTTAAGTTAAATTCGACTTCCTTATCGGCAAAAGCCTACCGGAAATCTCAGGTACTTTCTTATTAGCGGGCGGGGGAGGGGCGGGTGGTAAGCCACTTTTTACCCCTGACGCCTGAAGGTGAAGTAAGTAAATTTAGCCAATTTTAATTGAATTTCAAGCACGTTCATATTTTTAGAAATTTTTATTTTTAATTGAAATCTAGGAAAAATATAGAAAATATTTTATATTTCTATACTAGGCAGGTGTTGGCTTCATTAAAACTAGAGTTGTTATTCGACCCGGGTCGAAATGGTCGAAACTTTTGTAGGCTCCCGCCGCGAAAACTTTGTAAAATTCATAACTTTTGTTCTAAAGTAGAATTCCCCGATTTCGTCTTCATTTTCGGCTCTGTGAGATCATTTCCTACATTTTGAGTCTTTATACTATAAGTTTTCATGCTAGAATCACAAAGAACGGCACACCATGGCAGGGGGAAGTGGTTCCGAGAAATGGCCGCGCGCGGAACAAGGCAAGCAGGCCGTTATTTATGATTCTAGCATGAAAACTTATAGGTTAAGGACTCAAAATGTAGGAAATGATCTCACAGAATCAAAAATGAAGACGAAATAGCGGAATTCTACTTTAGAAAAAAGTTATGAATTTTACAAAGTTTTCGTTGCGGGAGCCTACAAAAGTTTCGACCATTTCGACCCGGGTCGAATAACAACTCTAATTAAAACCATCGCACTGCTCCCCCCGCTAAGAGGAAATCTCCGAATGATCGCAAAATAACCAAAAACTCACCATCCTGTTATGCGACCCGTCAGAATGCAACAGTATTTGATTCTCCTCGGCATACTGCTTGACGCCGTCGTATTCTCGTGCCGACTCGAAGCCAGTGTACAAGACGACGTCCTGGTATGTAAGCCGCTTCCGCTCCTCTTCCCAGAGCCTAAAAATGGCGTAAAATAGGACGCTAGTGAAAATACGAACTGAATCTGCTCGGCGACGGTGATGGGAACGCAGAGAATCGGTCCGAAGCGAGAGAGCGATTGTCGATGTGCGTTCATCCGCAAATAGGAGACGATCTGCTGGGCGGTGATGCCCACCTAGAAAACGTCTTTTGAATGGTACAAAGCGAAAAAGGGCAATAAAGCTACAAGGTGGTTTTTTAGGATTTGTATTTCTATCTGTAATAAATACAAACGCATTATACACTTAAGCATATTTAAATGTAATTTTAAGTTACTGCAAACGCCAAAAATAATTACCTGTAGCGCTTTCCGCACAGAATCTCTCGTCAGCACCCCGACGCACATATTTGGAAACCTAAAATAAATAAAATTTTTCACATTTTCAGTTCCTACCCAAAAAAAATATTAAATATTACCTACCTGTACAAAAATTCGGTAAATGTCGACAAGATGGCCAGCTGCAAGCTGGATGCCGTGTACGCGTAAACGCGATAGTTTGTCTCGACGACGAGACATCCCTCTCTTCGTTGCATACTCTAAAAAAAACGATGTTTCCATAGAAAAAAAGATGATACCGCATCTATATCGTCCGACGGAATCGTAAGGTTGCAGAGGAGCGGCGAGAGGTAAAAATGGCTGACAAAAAAAGTTATAAGAAGCTTGAAAAAACCCAAACCCGTCCTTCCGCTTCCGAATGTAGACGAGACCGATTTCGCGTAGATGCATGACAATTTCGAGCTGCCGTTCGGTCCACGAATCTTCGAGGTAGAATGGGCGGCCGCCGATTTCGAGGTCTATTTTCGATTCGACACATCTAAACTAGGTTTTATTAACCAAAAAGATGCTTACAAAACAATCCGAATGAACAAATCCAGCACCTCAACGACGTCGTTCGTCCCGTGCCGCTCGAACTTGAAATACTCTAAAAAAGATGAAGATTTGGCTTTTTCGCAAGAAAGTACCAATCATATACGTCCACATTTGTTGCACCGGACTGAGGAGCAGAAAGTGGAATCCAGCAGACGTCAGCTCTGGCGTGCCGTCACAGGATGTGGTGAAGCCTGAAAACTAGAATACTAGATATCGCAAAAAGTCATACCAGCAGCCTTGAATAGTTGTTTTGTTTTCTGCGCCACTGTGCTGAGGCTTTGGTCAGAAGGAATGGCGAGGTACCTACTCTCGACATTAAAAAACCCAATACAAAATCACCGTAAAACCAATTCCCATCTTTCGGTGCTGTTTTTCGTGATGTCCTTCTTCGCCTTTTTCTCGTCGCCCTCGGAGACAGCGCTAAAAAAAGTAGATCAGGCTATAGATGATAGAGAATTTGATACCGCAATCCAGCACATCCGTAGGCGCCCAGGACGGAAGCTTTGAGGTAAGCGTCACGAAATGCTTTCTGAAATCCTGGTGAAAACCTAAAAGTAATAACCTTACCAGCAACCTGGGCTTGCTGTTGGTTTCCTCAACCAGACCGCAACGTGAGAGCAATCCGATTTGCTGCCGTACCACCTCGTGCCCTTCCTTCGTCAAGCCCGAACTGAACGCAGTGACTATCAAAACGTCTTGTTTTCTACGTACTACAATTTTTTGTCCCAAATCATCTTCACGATCGTGGTCTGCGCGTGGCTGGGCAGCATTCGAAAGATGAAAAAGGCCGACGCCGGCGTGGCGAATAGTCGTTGCCTCTCATCCTAATTTTTTAACCTTTAAGCAATAAACTTTTATAATACCGGTTTCAGCGTCTGTAGATAGCGCAGGAAAAGCGATTCGCCTTTATGCGCGTCATCATCAGTCATGCCAACCTGCTAAATCAGAACTTTTTTACCGATTCCCAAATTTTTCAGGAATGTTCAAACGCTCTTTTAACACTTTTCATGTTTCTCGCTGAATGGTATATAAAAATATCTTTATTTCAGCAATGTGGATACCCGAATAGGACTAATAGGCACTAGCTACGCAAATACTAGGTGGTGCTCCAATCTGAAGAGAATTGGAGGGGGGAGAGGGGGGGATACAGAGGTCCGGTCACAAATGAGGTACGTGTCCTGGCTATTCCTGCGATTGTTGCGCCTTCAACTGTTGGAAGAGGGTGGACGTGGCCTGGTTGGACGAAAACTGTAGACAGAACGCGTTGATCTCCGTGTACAAGTCCTAAAAAATACGTTAGAAACATTTTACAATTTTACGTCGGATTTTATCGTGCCCTCGTTCAACAACGTTGCCACAAGCATCGCCGTAACGCGGACGTGGCGGATCTGAAAATAAAATTGCTCTTTTTTTCTTGCAAAACACAAACCTGCATCGACGGTTTCGACGAATCTTGGCAAATTTGAAATAAATGCTGTATGTATGTGACCAGGGGGGCGGTGGGCAAGGAGGGGGCTGTCTAAAATTGCACAAAATGTAGCTATTTTTGCGTAGCAATACCTTGTAAATTTTCCTAATTACATCGGCGCATTGTACAGAGAATTCCATCGACATCAGAACGCCGATAATCCTGAAAATTTGGTATCTACGAAATGTTGACCTTTCCTCACGTGTTTATTCGATCGGGATCGGATCTTAGAAGGTAAGAAAGCACATCGGAAGCGACCTTTGGGTTCAGCTCTATCAAAAGTTTGTAGTGTGATGGCGTCAGTTCCTAGAAGAAACGGGACTACATCTTAAAATGTGAAAAATCATACCGTCAATCTTTGCAGCTTGTAGCGCAATGGTGATGCTGGCGATGTCAGTACGTTGATAAATTGGCGCGCTTCAGATTGGCTAAAATAGGAAGATCTTAGCCAAAAATATTAGCCAACCTTAGGGTTGTGCTGGAAAGTAATTTGCCGATGATTCCATCAAGTTTTTCGGCGGATATCAATTCCGGGGAAGCTGGATTCACGGATGTACTTGGGGATGACGCAAGTGTAGGTGTTTGCTGTCTAGAAAAAGAATCAACAAGTCAGCAAAATCTTACCCAGAATCAAAGAAGCATATCGGGCTTATCGGGTAACCGGGAATCCGCTAAAAATGCATTTTCAGACGCAACAAATTGCTCACCCGCTCGTGTCCCGGACTCGCTTGGGCTTCTAGAAGTGAATTTGGGGGCACGTTCGTCCAGCCGCTGACGTAGCGCAGTAGTTCGATCAGTGTTTCGGCCCTAAAGAATTGGAATAAAGCTAAACTCGCTAAAATCAACCTTTTTGCCGCATCTTCTGCGTTGGCGCGGCGGGTATTCTGGAGATTCCCGCTGTCATCACTCATCAAACCATGTAGGGGCCCGGGTTCTGAAGGGAGCTTCATTCATACAAAAACGCGGAAAGCTTTTTACATTTAGAAAAACTTCCGGAATTCCACAAGTTTTTAAAATTAAAGTTCCACAAAGCACCAAACAACGTTTTTCGTTGCTTGGCGCTGCGCGGAGCGACGCAATTCCGCTTTGTTTATTTTTCTGTCAAAAAAATGCTTCAGAAAATCCACTAAAAATTTAGCAAAAAAGTCAAACGTAAAATCCTTTTTAAATCTAAAGTTTTTGATAATAGCGGAACGAAGGAACTTCTTTTGGAGTCACTTCACTCATACTCGTGCCTTTTGCCTCGGCTAAACGGCGCGCAATCGACCGTGCCCGCCCTCTAATAAAGAGGCAGTAGAGAGCCGTTTCGAATAGACATAATAGTAAGGCGAGTTGCAACAAATAATAAATAAAGTTTTGCAATTTTGTTCGATAAACTGATGCCTGACTTGATCATGTTTTCACTAAAAAATAAGTCTCTCAAAAATGAGCTTTTGATCCCGAAAGGGATGCCCTTTCCAAAGTTCTGACCTTCGACTTTCGAAAGTTCTTTTCATGAATCCGTCCTCTTTCAGGTAATCTACCAATGCTGTTCTACTCTTTCTTCAAATCCCTCGTCGGGAAGGAGGTCGTAGTCGAGCTCAAGAACGACGTCTGCCTACATGGAACCCTCCATTCCGTCGACCAGTACCTCAACATGAACCTACACGAGACGCAAGTCACCGACCAAGACCGTTTCCCGCACCTAATTGCCGTCAAAAACGCGTTTATTCGCGGCTCGGTGGTCCGATACGTGCAGCTGCCCGAAGATCAGGTCGACACCGAACTGCTAGCTGACGCGAGTCGCAAGGAGCTGGCCAATCAACGGAAATAGACTTTCTAAATATCGTTATGTTGTGATACACCATTTGCCAGCCCCTCCAAATTGAATTTTCACGTTGACTCTCCGGTTTTCGACTAATCCTTGTAATCTCAAATTTTCCTATGGTTTCCTAAAAGCCTCTCATGGGTCGTTCCTTCGATTTTGTATTTATACGATTCTTGTCTCGTTTCGGTTTCTTTTGGCTCTTCTAATTGTTATGTGCAGATCTCCGTATAAAGCCAATTTTAGATGAAGCCACTCCTCGGATGGCTCTTCTTGCTCGTGTTAGCCTGGACTGGCGCCGACGCCTACAAGCTGAATGTGCCGCGTCTGCTCTTCCCCTACCATCCGACGGTGCCGATGCACTTCGATTTGGAAGTCGGGAGCCCGTCGGGCGGATGCTTCAAATGGTATATTTAGCGTAAAATATCGAAAATGTTTGGTTTTAGGAGGTCGAATCGCCCGGACATTGTGCAGGTTGAGCCGGCCAGTGGCGAATGCTCTGATCGGGCACGCGTTGTCTCAAGCACGAAGGTCGGAGGAACGCACAGCGCCGTCATCTTTGCCGAAGAAAGTGGTAGTGTCTATGTTTTTTTTTTAAAATGTGTCTTTTAGGAAGCGGAACCACGCTGAGCTGCGTCGTGACGATTGATGAAGTGGCCACGATCACGATCGAGCACACAACAAAGGTGCTCTACGTGGACGCCGCACCGGCTAGGATCACTGCTGTTGCTTTCAACGCTGATGGTACCTTTTTTACTAATTTTTATGTTATTTTAGGCGACAAATTCTCAACCCTCGGTCAGCTGCCTTTCGAGTGGGAGCTGGCGACGGACAATGGTGCTGAAACGATGCCGTTGCGTATCGTGCCGTTCGAGCAGAGCAAGTACCGTGCCCCGCAAGACATCCAGGCCCTGGAAAAGGCGAAGAAGAAAGGTAGATATTTGTAAAGCTATTTTTTATGTAATTTTTCTAGGTTATCTCGTCCTTCTCGAAGGCCTCGTTACCGGCTCTTCCGCCATTTCTGCTCGCTTCCAAGACCCGCATTTCAAGGTCTGTTTTCTTCACCTCCTCCGAAAAACTTCTTTTAGAATGTCCCAACCAACACTCTGGATCTCGTCGTCGTCGCCAACCTGCTGCTCGAACCAGCCCAAGATCTCTACGTGCCCACCTATTCCGATATCGCCTTCACGGTGAAGATCGTCAAGGAGCGTGGCCTAGAAGGTACGTACGTCTTTTTTAATCACCATTTGTTTAGATGTTCCCATGCCCTCCCCACTCTACACGCTGAAGCTCGACAACGAGGACTGTAAGCTCAACAGCAAGACTTCCACGGTCACCGCTGTCAAGAAGGGCAAATCGATGCTGTCGCTCAATTTGGAAAGTAAGTATAAAATTTCTTAAATTAATTCACTTTCTTTAGATGTCGACCCCAGGGTGACAAGTAATGCTGCGGTTCGTCCTCCATCTACCCGCATCTTCATCGTCGACCCGGAAAGTCTGCAATTCGCTGTGGCCGGAAGTAAGTCTCTTTTTTCTTACTTATGTCTTTTTTTTATAGGCAACTGGTTGCTCGAGCGCGGACGCACCTACCGGATCAATGTCAACCTGCTTGACCCGCACGGAAATCACATGTTCATCGCCGACGTGAGTTTTCAATGCTAAGGCCCATAATTGTTGTCTTTAGAATGCCCGCTTCGAGACCGCCTTCCCGCACGACTACTTTGACATCAAGTGGAACACCAAGAACGCTACTTGGTTCGAAGTTACCCCAAAGAAATCTGGCCGAGTTAACATCAACTCCAGGCTGAACTCGTTTATCACCGAGGTAAATTTAAATTCTTGGTATTTTACAATCTTTTCCCAGGGCGGCATCGAAGTCAAGATCAAGCGAAAAGTCGACGGGGAGCAAGAAGTCGAGATTGTCGACCCGATCACCGTCGTCCCTGACCAAGTCGTACTGCCATTTTTGACCGGCGTTAAGTTCAACTACCCTTTGACGGTGAGTAATCTTAATTGGATTTTTAATTTAAGTATTTTTATATTGATTTTTTCGTTTTCCTTCTCAATTCACCGAAATGTATTTAGGCATCGGGCGGAAGTGGCACCTACTCGTGGGCCACCGAAGACCGCAGGATCGGCACGATTCATGAAGCTACCGGGATGGTCACCTCTGGACAGATCGGTTGGACGGCGGCTACCGCCACGGATCGCCGAAATCCCGCTCATTCTGGAAAATCTACGGTAATTTCTATTCGTCTCACTTGATGATTTTTTTTTAGGTTGGTGTCCTCGAGATCGTCTCGTTGGACTTTGGAAAGACAAGGAAAGAGGCTGAGGAGGGCAAGATTTTGCTCGTCAACGTCCAGCTCTTCGGAATCGACCGTACGAAGGGCCATCGCCATTACCCGTTCACCGATTGCCGCAACATTCCATTCGTCGTCGAGGTGCAGAACCGTGCCCATTTCGTGCATGTACCAGGTATGTTTGATCGGTATGATTCACTATTTGTTGTTATTTATCTGTATTTAATTTAATTGTTCTGAATTTGCTGTTTAGAAACGGCCTCCACCATTCCGACCGAAGGCACGGGTTGCGCCACCGTCGCTCTGCGTGCTGTCCACTCTGGCGACACCCGTGTTACCATCAAGTACGACAAATACTCGGCCACCATCGATATTTCGGCTTTCCCGGCTCTCAAGGTATGGATTTTTCAAATTAATGAATTTTATTGTGATTCAGGTTGATGACGATCTGCTTGTCCCCGTCGGTGGTGCCTACAAGCTCAACACGTTCGGCGGACCGCGCCCTTGGCTGTTGGACAACTCGCAGTTTTTCGTCAATGGTTGGTTACCTAGTCGATTGTGATTTATGGTTTTTTGAACCGGTGGTGTTAGCACAAAGCAAAAAAAATTTTGAAAACATCGAAAATGAAATATTTGATTCAGGTGTCTCGCAAGACAAAGTTGTAACTGTCAAGCAGGACGATGAACAACTCACCATGGCGTGTTCCGGAAAGGAGGGCTCGACGGTATGAAAAGTATTTCCGACATCAACTTTGCTTTAGGAAATCAAACTGAGCGTCGGCAACAACCCCACTTCTTCCAACGAAATCCCGGCCGTCGTCTCGACGAATGTGCGCGTTTGTTGCGGACGCCCGATCCGCATGGCTCTCGGCGTTGAGGGTCGCACCCCGAGCTCCAAGGACTACCCGAAATGCCCGAATTCTGTCAAGGTATAGATTTTTTTTTCTCTTCAAAGATGTCCGTTTTAGACCGTATTTGCCTCGGCCCCATTCCAAGTCGGCGTTCGGCTTTATGGACGTTGCGGATCGAATGAGGAGGAACGTGTGATGTCCGGCATCGACTCGCTCGATTTCACCTGGAGCCTTGGCAGCGGCAAGGACCTCCTGGCGCTTGCCAAGGAGACGAAGCACAACGAACCGGCTACTCTCGGTAATTTTAATTTATCGCTTTTATGTTCGACATTTTACGTTTTTGAAATTATCTGTTTTCAGCTTTTGTCGACGGATATCCGAACGGCAAGGTCGGCGATGCTCTTATCAACAATGTCGTCACGAAAGTCGGTTCACACCGCCTTCCGCAGAAGCTGACCGCCTCCCTGGAACTGAAGCTGGTATGTCGGAATTTTTTGTTGTGTTTTGCTAATCGGAAAATTCAGGTGAAACGCGCCACGCCTGTCCCGTCTTCTCTTGTGCTCTGGAATGATCCTACTGCTGCGGCCACCATCAAGCTCAACGGCGGATCTGGACATTATCATCTGATCGACCGCTCGACGTTCTACGATGCCCTGATTTCTGATGGAAATATCAAGGTTTCACAATTTTATTTTTCGAACGTATTTCTTTTTTAGGTCTCGCCAAAGAAGATCGGCCAGAGCCCGTTGCGTCTCGTCGACATTTGCATCGATTCCAGCGAGATTGTCATCCCCGTCAAGATCACCGACATCAAGGCGCTCAAGATTCAAGGACCGCAATATGTTAGTTTCTAGTAAAAGATCTTCATTTTTCGATTACAGTTGGAAGTCACCACCGATACGGAAGTCGAAGTGCACGTTGTTGACGCTGATGACGAGCCGTTCTCTGCTGAATATGTTTCCGTGATGGGCCTTGAGCTCACCTCCAGCAACACGCACGTCAAGGTCGAGAGGTAATTTTTCTATCTAATTTTTCTATTAGAATTTTTAGGCAAAACGGCATGAAGTTCCGGATCCGCGGCCAAACCGTCGGCGAGGTTGCCCTGGTAGCTGCCGCTCGTTCGTCTGGAGCCGGTGCGATACGCAGCCGCCAGCATATGATTCAGGTTCGGCGTTTTTTTCTCACAAACCTAGACTATTTCAGGTGTTCGCCCCGATGCGTTTCCAACCGAAGGTTGTCACCCTGGTTCCGGAAAGCACCTTCCAGGTTTGCCATTCGCTCCAGACTATCATTATTTTTTTAGCTCGAGGTTATCGGTGGTCCTCGCCCGACGCCACCAATCTCCTTCTCCACCAATACGTCTCGTCACATGGACATTGCCGCCAACGCCCTGATCACGTCGAAGAACGAGCTGGGCTACACTCTCGTCACCGGCACCATTCAGCAATCCGACGGACGTAGCACTACGGTAATGCTTGCAAAATTAGCTTAAGTAACCAAAAATTTTCGAAAACTATGAATTTGGAACGAATGGTAGAAAATGACAAACGTTTGTTTCAGGACTCTGTCTTGGTGAAAGTTGTCTCGCTGGCTTCGATCCGCATCCGCGTCTCTTCGAACTACGTTGAAGCCGGTGGCAAGGTCTGGGCTCGCATCGATGGAATGCTGGACGATGAGACTCCCTACTCCTTCGGAGGCGCTGAGTGGCCGCTCAAGGTTTGTGAAAAATTGTTGCTTGTTGAAACCCGAATTTCTAGGTGAACTGGTCGCTCGGCGACGCCAGCGTGCTCAGCCTCGACTCGTCCAAGCTCGGCACGGCCCTCGAGGAGCCTGAGCAGAACCGCTTCTCCATCTCGCTGAACGCCAAAAACGCCGGAAAGGGCACGATCAAGGTCCAAGTCGAGATGCACGCCTCGGCGACGCGCCACTTCCAGGTATCAGCGAAATTCTTTTATTTATTCCCTTTTTAGGGAAAATCTCGTATTTTCACCGCCGAGGCCACGATCACCGTCGATGAAGCTCCGGCTCTGGCTGACCCGAACATGCCGCTGACGCAGATTCGCATCGCGCCCGACACCGAGTACAAGCTGCTGAGCAAGTGGTGAGTTTCTGCGAATTTTTGGGTGTGTATAATTTATTTATGTTCTTTCTTATTTTGTGTATGGCTCAGGGTGGAATTCCCCTTTGCACGAAGCTCAGGCATTTCGATGGCCTTAATTTTCGGGTTCAAAAGCGCGAACAGCTCCTCGTCAGGGAAGAGGGAGCGGCCCTTATCTGAATTACATTATTCAATGCCATGTCTTTCTTACCGGGAGTCGGAAAGGCATCGCAACCTTTTTCTCCGTTCGGGCCGATGCTCATGCGACAGACGGCCGCATCGACGTTAGAATTGTAGATCTAGTTTATCTTTTTAGGCCACAAGCCCAACCTTGCCTTCAGAATTTTATTTAACTCCTCTGCTCGCTTTTCCATTTCATTTCTGTACGTTTGCAAATTTCGTCGAATTGTGGGAGCGGCGATTTGGTTGTAGATACCGATAGACTAGAAAAATCGACTAAAATTAGGGCCGTTAGCTCACCCTCAGCTGAATCAAGGAATTCCGCGCAATGTTGGCTAGCAGCTTTCCTTGCATCGCCAGCTCCTCGATCATTTTGATCGTTTGGAGACGCGTGCTCTCAATCTGTAGCGAAATTTTGAGAACATTTAGAAATTAGAATTTTTTTTTGTACATGAGAATTTTAGGAGATTTTTTTGTCAAACTTACCTCGGCATTTGCTTCGTAAGCCGCTGTATTTATTAGATAGCGTTGCTCCACGGTAAATGCTGTAATTGTTCTGGCGACCAGGAGGGCCTGAAATTTTATTTAATTTAAGGGGTTATTTTATTAGCTATTTGGGATTTTTTTTCGTTATTTAGTTTCTACGTTAATCGGAAGAAAATTGGAAAGCTTATCTTCGAAAAAATATTCTATTTTTAAGAAAATAACGTTTCGATAAAAAACCCATCGTAAAATCTACCAAGAATTTGCTAGAAACTGACCTGCTGCGCTTCCTGCGCCTTATCCATCACCAATCTCGCTGCCGTATTCGTGTTATTCATGGCCTGATTTTCTATCGAAATAATATACGCCAGCCCGGCATCCACGCTCCTTTGCATCGTCAGCTGGTTGACCATCGTCCACGGGTTATACCATAGTGAAATCGGCGACAATTGGGCCAGCGCCCCAGTTATCAGCACGAAAATATAGAGCGCCATCCCGTTAACCATACGCTGGTCCCGAAACAACTCGAGAAATGATCATCCCGCGCACCGGGGCTCCCTCAACTTTTTACCCATATTCATCGGTGTGTTTCTCCGGCCCGCGTGTGCGCCGTTCTTTCGGGATTGGCGTAACCTATCAATTTCCGAACGGTTTTTGCCGTGTTCCCCAATTTTCTCTCTCTCACATCGCTAACCAGTCATCCGGCTCGCCGGTGATTTCTGATCCAATCCGGGCGCGTCTAATTGGAAATGGCAGTTGGGGCATAGTTTTACACTTGGTAGTTTGGGTACAATTTTTCTTTTCAGGGATGAGAGCCAAGTCAGCTGGAGTGTGCCGCCAGCTTTCAACTCGCTGCTGTCGATCACGAAGAACGGGCTGCTGCGCACTTTCTCGACTTCCGGACCGGCTGGACTGTTGAAGGCCGAGTCATCGTCTGGCGCTAACAAGACGCTGCTGGTTCCGGTGCAGGTGCGGATTTTCAATAATTCGATAAATTTGGAGTTTTAGCTTGGCCTAATTTTTATTTTCAAAACGCAATAGGCGTAGCAAAAAGCAAAAATTTTTCTTCCTAGTTTTATTTTTTGTTTTTAGTGTTTTTAATCGAAAAATTTCGAAATTCGAAACACCTTGAGAAAATCTCTCAAATTTGAAATTTTGGAACATTGAATAATTTTTGGTAAAAACTTTTTCTGCGTCAAAAAAAGGCGTAAACAGCTAGATAAATGGCGTGATTTTATGCTTGGGACTCTGTGGACTAATTTTGGGCCCCCGCGAAGATCCCAGTCCGACCAAAAACGACATTACGATTTGCAAAAACACCTTTTTTAGATCACGCCCGCTCGCTCAATCTGGGTCGAAGTTTTCCCGCCGCTCTCGGCCCCGGAGTCTTCCCCACTCACCGCCCTCAATGTTGGCCAGACGCTCGATTTGTACATCCACTTCCGCGACCGTTTCGGCGTCCGCCTCGTCGCCGCTCCGAATCAGGGTCAACTACCATCCGCATCGGTGCATTTACTTCTTGATTCCGATTGACTCTTTTTAGCTTCGACCTTACCGAAATCGCCGCCTTAATGGCAACCGCACACTGGCCATCACCCTGAAGACGCCTGGCGAGACTGTGCTGCGTATCTGGGACGCCGAAGATCAGAGCATTGAGACGTTCATCCGCTTCTCGGCCGTCGATCTCCCGCCACCAGATGCCAACGAGACCACCAAGGACGAGTCGATCTTGAAGGCAATCGCCGAGCCGTCGTGCCCGATTCAAGGCGCATCCACCGCTGACAAAGCGAGCAGTAAGTTGCCCTTATTTTGATTTTATGCTCTTCCTAGGCTTTGAACGGCTTGGATTCTTCGACTGGTTGCGCTATATGTCTAAACACCTGGTGACACTGCTGTGCGGCTGCGGCCTGCTGATCATCACCACATGCTGTAAGTTGCAAATTGTCTTTTGCAACCTTTGTTTCTTTTTAGGCTGGATTCTTTTGCGACGCTCTCCGTCCAAGAAGGGGTGCCGCTAACCACAACACCACTGGGGTGTTCGCCTCTGATCGCTCGAACGCTAATGTGACCTACGGCAGCTCGCCCGGGTCTTCACCTTCAGGTACGCTTTTAGGTTATTGTGCATAATCGGGGCGGCTAATGTTTTCCTATTTTTGTTTTGATAAAAATGATAATAATTCAATCGTCAAAAAGTAATAAACTTAAAAAATCTTTTAATACTTGAAAATAATCAAAATAATCATTTTATCCTAGGACTGGCACGTTTTTGCATTTCTCGCCAAAATTTGTGAGTTTCGGCGTTTCCCACAAGTAAAAAATAGTACAAAAATAGTTGATGTAGCTATACTAAAAGCTCTGGTTTATCGATTCGAAATAATCATTTTTAGTGAGCTACACCTGGCAAGAGAACCCACCGCGATTCCACTCAACGCCAATCGAGACGTCATCGATGGGCCCGATCGGCTCAGGCTCTCCCCAACTGTGGACCACCACACACACACACACCTGCACCACACACACACACACACACCACCTACCACACACCACACCGCATTGTGTGTGGCCTTTACCCATTATTATTGTATTATTATTACTTATTGTTATTGTGTGTGTGTATTGTGTGTGTATTATTATTACTGTGTGCCTTGATTGTATTATATTACTGTGCCTTATTGTGTACAGCCTTGTGTGCCTTGTGTGTGTACTGTATTATTTTATGTATTATTGTATTATTTTATTATTACCCATTATTATTATTATTATTGTTATTATTATTATTGACCCATTATTATTATTATTGTACAATGTTAGTATTAGTGGCCTTATTGTGTGTGTATTACCCTTGTATTGTGTGTGTGTGTGTAGCCCTGTGTATACAGCCTTGTGTATTATTATTACTGTATTATTGTGTGCTATTGTGTGTGTGTGCATTATTATTGTATTGTGTGTATTATTATTGTGTGTGTATGTATATTATTATTGTATTATTATTTTATTATTATATTGTGTATTATTGTGTGCTGACCGCCCATTAGGCCCCCAGCCCATTGTATTGTGTAACCCAATAGCCTTGTAGCCCCTTACCTTTGTGTGTATTGTGCATTATTGCCTTGGCATTGCCCAGCCCTTTGCCTTTGCCTTGTACCCGCGGAGGACCGCGTCTAAATCCCGTTCCTCATTTTGTTGTTGTTGCATTGTTCCCGCTCACGTTGTTATTCTAATGTTGTTGCCCTGTCGAAAACGGTGAACTCCCCCAAGTGATCTCTTTCTTTCATTCTCCATAGGCACCTCCCCCTCCTTTGATCCTGCCCATCCACTGACTGGTATCTTCTAGCACTCCTTGTTCCGGGCATCGCCAAACGTTTCTAGGTCTTCTTTAAAATATGACAAATGCCGGTGCGTATCTATTTGGTTGTAGCCGCCGATTTCCCGTTGAAACTGGTATTGTACTCTTCCCTTCCTTCACCCACATCCCCGATTCGCTCAAAAAGACGGGTACTGGTTCGTTAGCGAGGGGGCTTGATTTTTAGCAGGGAAGCTATTTTTCTAAGTTTTCCCCTAGTCGCATCATCCAAGGCAGCAATTTTCATCGCATAAAAAGTATTAAAAAAAACTCCAAATTTTGGAATTTTTTATTTTTGGCCAAAAATGTACGAAACTGTTAAAAAATCAGCTTGGCAAGCGAAAACTGCTAAAAAGGTCCTAAGAATGCCCTATTTTGGTACAAAAGAAATTAGGCGGAATAAAGGGAGGTCAGTTGCCCACTACTACGCCCCCGCTTGCGCACCAGTACCCAAAAGCGGAGGACCGGTAAAAGTAGACGGGCGGCGGGTTTTTCGGAGGCGTTCCAGCCGGTAAACAACAACTTCCGCACGTTGCGGCACTCAAAAACGCCGTGCCGACCTTGACCACTACGTGCCGCTGGCCCTCGTTCTTGCATTATCAGAAAGCGTGGCGCCCTACCCCGAAATTCGCCCCCGCCGTTATCGCCCATTGTTGCTTTGGATTTTTGCCCCGTTGCTCTCTCTATTCTTTCCCAGTTTCCTTTGGCCGATTCGCAAATAAATATTAACCAATTTACCTCCTTGTAAATGCGTCTAACAACAACGGAATTTCCCTGCACTGATTCTGACAAGCACGACGTTGAAGGTTCTTTCTGTGAGCATCGGATTTTTCTTTTGTTTTCAGGGATGAATCGAGGGCTTCTCTTCCGTCAGGTTGGACTTTCAAAACAAGCTGTTAGCCAGCTTCTTTAGCTCTTCGAGAAGACCTCGTCGACGTACACCTACATTCTGGGCTGCCAGAAGACGCGCGAGGCGATTATTATCGATCCGGTCAAAGAGACGGCGCCAAGGGATGCAAAGGTGTGATAATCCGACTGGGCAAAGAACGCTGATCTTGAGCGACTGGCTTATCATGCCGAAAACTAAGACATATTTGCAACAGCTTTGTACATAATATTTCCATTGCAGTTGCTGAACGAGCTGGGCTTGTCGTTGCGATGGGCGTTGAACACCCACGTCCACGCTGATCACATTACCGGGACCGGCGCGTTGAAGCAGGTAGAGTTTTGTAGGCATGCAATTATCATCAGCTTTTAGCTCATCCCTGGGGTCAAGTCCGTCATCTCTAAGGCGGGCGGAGCACGGGCTGATCATCGGATCGAGCACGGAGATGTTATTCAGGTGAGGATTAGAATATTTCGCGCATTTTTACCAAGTAGAATTTTTGCAAACAAAATGTCAAACCGGAGCCTAGAAATTATTCTTTTTAGTTCGGCGGTGAAGAAATCGAAGTACGCGCGACTCCCGGGCATACGAACAGTCGGTTTCTACTTTTAGTCGTAAATGTACAATTTTAGGCTGCGTCACCTACGTCCACCACGGCGGCCGCATGGCTTTCACCGGCGACGCGCTGTTGATTCGTGCTTGCGGGAGGACGGATTTCCAGGAGGGTAGGTCCTTGTAAAACCAGCTTTTCTTTTTGATGAATTTTATATGAAGTTACGTTTTAGGCTGCCCGCAGCGTCTCTACAAATCCGTCTGGGAACAAATCCTGTCGCTGCCCGAGGATTATTCAATTTTCGTCGGCCACAACTACGAGGGAATCGAGCAGACCAGTGTTGCGGGTATTTTATAAAATTTTCTGTTTCATAAACTATATTTAGAAGAGAAAAAGTTCAACCCACGCCTAACAAAAAGCGAGGAGGAGTTTGTGCACATTATGAAGAATCTGAACCTCTCCTACCCCAAGCAAATTGGTAATTATTTTTTCGCGACCAATTTTGTTTTTTAGATCGCGCCCTGCCCGCCAACCTGGTCGACGGAGAGCTGGAGGAGAAGCACGAGGCCGAGGCGAAATGAAGCTGTAGCAATGTATAATTTTATTCTGTACCATGCTGAAGTAATCTGTGATTTTGTGCCTTGTGTTTAGTCCATATTCGTGATAAATTGAGGGTAATCAAAACTACTTGGATGGCAAATCACATGGCATAAGTTGAAGCTGCCTTATTTGTTGAGATTTCCATTTTTGAAAGAAGCAAGTAGGCTGCAATTTCCGAACACCCGCCTTTCTGCGTAGTCAACAAAGGCCGGGGCGTAGCCGCTGAATAACCAATTTTATAGCGTGTTGCTGGGCGACCCCCGGGGTCGAAGAAGCGGAAATGGTTGTCGTTGCGACAGTTGACCTGGATTTTGGCTCAATGCTTGCACTTGCTTGCTCTCATTTGCTCAAGAAACTTTGTTTTCACGTTCCTACGAAAATTTGTTGCCGATTAATGCTCATTACAACTTTTTTCAGAGCCTATGGCTGAGACTACATTAGAAGTAGGAAATCGAATTTTCGTCAATTTTGCCGGGGAGCCGGAACAACGCGGATTTTTACGATATTTAGGCCCGGTGGATGGGCAGAAAGGTGAATTACGCATTTGGAAAACAATATTCGTTTCGATTTTAGGAACCTGGTGCGGTATCGAATGGGTGATGACGTGACGAGGGCAAGCACAATGGCACCGTCAACGGAAGGGATTATTTTCGGACTCGGTTAGTCGAGAACTTGGCGTTTTACAACAATTTTGGATTTTCTAGAGAGCCAAAAAGCCGGATCGTTTGTCAAGCGAGAGCTGGTGTCGGGCGGCAAAAATTTGTTTAGCCAGGTTGGTTGTTTGTAAAAACTCGGGCTTCTCGCTTGTTTTATAAAACTTCAAGCTTGTTATTAGCTCGATTTTTACAGATCGAAGAGCGCTACGCAGTGGACGAGGACAACGAAGAAAACGAATTTATGGGTTCCCGAATGGTCGAAAAAGTAGGGATGCAGAAGGTGCACCAAAACAAAGGTAGCCTCTTTTCTCCTATTATTGTTTTCTAAAAATCCTTGCAACTATACGAGGCTTTCAGGGACATCTTCCGGCTGAAAATGATCGTCCTTGATGGTATGCGAGTTGCGAAACCGCCACCCCTGTCGACACCTCTTTTTAGCTGCTGTAGCGAGCTGAATTTGCACAATAATCTCTTGCACAGGTGGGATTACTATTGGCAAAAAATTATGTTTTCAGATGGAAAGACGTGTTCGACATTGTCAATTGCTTCCCAAACCCTGAGGGAGCTGATTTTGAGGTGGGAGTTCTTCGAAAGCTGAATTTTGAACTTTAGGCAAACGCAATGGAAAATGTGGACCGAGTCGATGCTTTTGCCGACTACCCCCGATGTAAAGGCCCCAGTTTTTCACTTGGTGCTGAATTATTGCGGTGTTTCGGAGACGACGGGTAAGTGGATTTTTCAAGAAAACCAACATATTCTTTAAGATCACCGCTGTGTTGTCGAAATTTCCCGGCTGTCACGGATCTGTACGCCAGTGGCAATTGCTTGACTTCATTCAACCCGGGAGATTGCCGGACAAGGGTGAGGGTATATCAGCTCATCAGGAATTACCAAAAAGTGTCAGGCTCGTCGACCTCGAGCACAAATCCGATCCCCAGCTTCCCGCTTCGATCGACTCGGCAAACACCCGATTACTGGGTAGCTTCGATAAATTTAGCCATTTGTCCCTTTTAGGCTCGAATCCTTGAGCTTGATGAATTGCCGTGTTTCGGAGGTTGCGCTTTCCGGACGATTTCCAAACCTGAAAACGCTGTATTTGAAGAGATCCGTTGCACGAGGTTGGGTCCCACCGAAACTAGTATTTTATTTTATTTTTTTTAGTGGTCTTCTATCAACGCGTTATCTTCTCTCAAATCTCTCTCTACCCTCTTCATCAGCTCGGCCAATTTTACGGCAGAAATGGCATGGATGTGTGCGATGGTGAATTTTCGATTTTGAACCACTAATACCCGAGATTCAGGTCACCATCGCCAAACTGCCAGCGATAACGATGCTGAATCAATTTGACGTGAGTGTCGTTGAGCGGCGATCCGCTGAAATGATTTTTTAAACTTTTGAAGCCCGATATTCCGATTCAGATTTCGTCAATCGCTACAGCCAACTCGCAGAAGCTTTGAAGGCGCCTCACGAAGCCGACCTCAAGCGACCCATAGCTGTAGGTTTCTTAGAAGTGTCATTTTCTCCCTTTTTTTAGATTCACGGCGAGCCGATCGAGGAAACCGTCCCGAAAGGAATTTCGGTGATCCGTGAAATTGATCTACGAGGGAAAACTGGTGGAACCGCCAGTCCCGGCGTCAATCACGGTATTTTAGCCCATACATCTGAAAATTTTTTGATTTCGTCTGGGTTGCAAAACTACAAGAAATCGCGGCGCGCTTATATTTTCGCGCGGGCCCTCCGGGGTGACGTTGTTTATTGGAAAGGAGGTTTGCCGGATTTAGCTGTTGCTTATAAAGTTCTATAGTTTCAATTGATGAACCCCTGACGAGCTATCGATTCTGGCCCGACAGCTCTCCTTCCTCCGTAGAGGCCGGCGACACGATAGAAGTTGATGCCTAATTTTGCTCATTTTAATTTCATTCAACATTTTTTGTTTTGTACCGCATTCTTTTTCTTTGCTAGTCTGTGATTTTTCGGGTATGTGCTGAGATTCTGTTAATAATAATGATATTGAGCTTAATAAGTATTGCTAAACTTCGATTTGGCCATTCTCACATTGATAGTCCATTCCAAGAAATAACGTTGCGAAGGGCTAATATAACCGGAAACAGTATTTGGCTCAAGTTCGAACTCAAACATGCCAAGTGACAGCGACGTAGAAGTGATTGCTGGCTCGTCGTCAAGCCCCAGGTCTGCATCAGGCGTCGCGGCTCGGAAACCCCCCATTTCGGCAGAAGAAGAAGCTGAAAACCGCGCGTCATCTACAAGTACATTGTCAGATGCTGTAAAGTTTTGAAAATTGATAAAATACATTTTTCTTCTACTTTCATCTGTTTTTCTTTGGTCTTTCAAGATATCTTTTCTAGGCGTCCGGTTAGAAGCGCGCAGATCAGTTACATGCTGCGCCGCCATCCGGTTGATGCACATAGGACTCTATGAAAGGAAGATTGTCAAAATATATCTGTAACTATGCTTAGTGTTTTTGTCCTCTTACCTTTAAACCTATATTGTCCTTTGTTTAGCCTGTAGTCTATTATACCTTACAAAATATATTCACTGTGTTTAGTCCCTCGCCACTGCCTGCATCATGGTGGCCGCGAAAAGCGGGGAGGACTCCGGGATTCGAATCAGGAGTTTGTCGTCAATGTTTCCATAGGATTCTTCACCCTGAAAAAGCCCATATCGAAGTCGACGATCGTTTTGGACCTTACGGTTTTAGGAATTCTCATTTTTCATCATGTTTCGAGCGTTCGCTCGGCCGGCTAGAATTTGTCGTGCTTCGCGAGCTCTCCCTTCGTTACATTACGCTGACACATCCACATCAGGTAAATTTTATGAAAGCATTCTTATAAAGTTACTTCCGATTTCGTTTTTTAGTTAGTACACCTTTTGATTTCCCAGCTCTTAACGCTCTACCTTGACTTGCTCGCCTCCTGGATGCCGGAGGAGTTTGAAAA